TATACGTATATAAATCTCGTTTTCAAAATAAAAATAATTTTAATTAAACATTTTAAATGGAAACCATAAAAGGACAAAAAGTTGAAGGATAATAGAATCTAAATGAAATATATATTAAAAGAAAAATACCATAACTTCTTAATTATATGGGGCTTATTATATGGGGGTATCTATAATTTAAAAACTTTATAAGTTTCCATATATAAATTGATAATTAATAAGAAGCTATAAATCAATAATAATATAAGTTTATTGCATTCACATTTGAAATGCCGATTCTAAGCCCATAACCAAAGTTTCATATGCAAGTTCATTATTAGTACAATATTTTGATATTAATATTAACATAACACATATTTATTCAAAGGGAAAAATAAAAAAATCAACTATAGCCTTAGCTTGTGTTGGTTGACTTTAATCTAGTGCCATATTAGAGAAAACACCATCAAAATATAGCTCCTATATTAAAGATTTGTGTTACCCACAATTAACTCTTGCTCATTTCGCAGATCATTATTAAATGGTGATTTAGTAAAAACAAAATATACTACTAGAAAGTTTGCGAGAGCTACCCCTTGGATTGCTTTCTAAAGAACAAGGTTATACATAACTGAATAAGTAGCATTAGCCAACAAGCCAAATGCTCTAATAATGTCAACCTGACTATCAAATATCGTACATGATTGATCAATAAAATGATCTTAATCTTATGTGACAACATAAAATAACTTAGCTTTTGTATCACTAAGATTAATGATAATCAATATTTTTTTATTTATCGGGTATTAATTTTAGTTGGAATCAAGCGTCAACTAAGGAAACGCATCATGTTCTCTTCTTTGAGCTCTGCGCTGCTTATTTTCCTAATCTCAAGTCTAATTATGATGGGAATTTGAATAAATTGTTATTATTGAATTTTGTGTTCATTAAGATGGATAGTTCTTTTTCATCAAACTCTTTATTTATGAATATGAAGATGTAATGTTTTGGAATTATGATAATGAATTAGCTTTCTCCTTCTCAAATACTTGGAATATTATTAAATTATGTCAACTCAAACAATTTACAGCATCAATTTGGAATAAAGCTACCCTTGTACCTTTTTATTTTCTTATAGAATTTTTTCAATGGCTTTATTCATTTGGATAATGATCTCCAATGTAAAGGATTCCACTTTGGTTCTAGATGCTAATGATGTGAGAATATTTAATCTATCATTTATGAAATAAATCACATGAAAGTTGGGAGAGAAATAAAAACTCTAAAGTAAGAGGCTCTAGAATTCCTAGAACATAGATTTGATTACAAAAAAAATTGTATAAATTTATGTAAACTAAGCTCACCCCTAATTATAGATTTAGATTGGGATCTGAGCATTATATAATTGACTATATACGTGGCTATACATAAAATAAGGTAAGATACAATAATTGTATAGCCTAATCGATCGAAAGATCTGACTTGATGAAGTTATATATCGATCGAGCTCTTAAAAAATTCAATGGCTTGGTGCATATTGATAGTTAAATAGCTAAGTTGTCAATAAATTGTTCTTCCTAAGAAGTTATTCCTCCTTGAGAAGTTGCCAATGTCAACTTCATAGATAGTATTCATCATGGTTGACTGATATGCTTTACCTGCCAATTGAGATGAGTTCTTGGATCCCATAATTGCCTGCTTGAAGCAAATACTCTTATAGTCTAATAATTTTGAGACCGACTTAACTCGTTTTAAATTGATCGACTTGATTTAACTTGATCAAAATCGACTTAACCCGATTGGTTTTTATAAATATCTGGGTGCACATGGACACTTCAACCTAGCTCATCATTTGAATCACATTGTATTTACTAAAAGGAAATATTGGATTGTTTGTCCTTGAGGAGGAATGAGCATGCAACTTGTGGACCTGTGGTGACATTCTCATAAATACTTGTGGTAATGTTTTCTTTAGGAATCTTTCCTCTTTGAAAGCTGAACATTTGGGTTTATAATTGGGAATTGAGTATTTTCCTGTGACAGGTATTCTTAATTATTTTGTTAATGAGATGGCTAATCAAGTTTTTATCAACATTATAGCTACATTCATTATTAATGTAAAATTCAAGAAGGGATTTTTATCTGCAACTATATCACTAAGCTAACCAATTTGCAACCTACTTCGCTAATGGGTTGCTATTTTAATAGCCCTAATTTGATGTCTGTGTCATAATCTTTTGGTTATTGATGTTTTCTTAAATTTCGAGATTTAAATTATTGCCGTGTATTTTTCAACCTAGAATTGTTACTATTTATGATATTTAATTTCTTGTTATGATGTTTAAATAATGAAATAAAATTAAAGTGACGAGGAATACTATCTTGTTTTTCATATTATTTCTTTTCCTGACAATATTCATTCTGCTCCGGGTATTATTTAAATTAAATTATTATAATGATTTGTTTACGTGTCCTAAAAATATGAATGATAATTGTTTGAATCATATAACAACTCATTAATGGAATTAATGTACGTAGCGATCTCTTCATGATGCTCATTAGTTTTCTCGTATTCTTATTTAGCCTTTTTGGTAGTTACGAGTTTGATTTCGACCACCCTAACCACCTTGAAATGGTCATTGATGTTATGCAGTATAACTATTGCATATTCCGTTTTTGGCATATTAAGGAATTCGAATGTGAATCAGTCGATTATGATTATATTCTTAATGTGTTGCACTCTCCCATTTAATAGTATATTTGATCTATTTTCTTGGGTAATTGTAGCTAGTCCTTATCTTACCTCCTCTATTTTAATATATCTCCTCTTATTTTATTATAAATCATTAAATCTTCTTACTTTTGGGCTCTCTTTTTTTCCTTTATGCATGAACAAACTTCTTTATTCATCACATGCACCCCTTTCAAGAAAGAGTAGCCTATAAGTAAAGCTTAACGGCCAAAAGCAAAGCTAATTGGAGATGTAATTCCTTCATGTCAATAATTCTCTCTCTTTATTATATTTGGCTTATATAAATACCAATATGATTTCATTTGGTTGTTGAGACCCCTTTAATCATTTTCATCATACTCATCATGAGATGCTTATGGTAATATGGACCACTAAACCCAAACCCATCATCAAAACAACTAATCAGCGGCTTAATCACATCCCATAACACTCATTAGCCTTATTCATTATCACCATCATCATGAGCTAGATTCTCCTTTTTACTCAAACTTGCTCTATTTATATGTTATTAAAGAAGGCAATAAAAATAGATGAGAGACTCAATACTAAGCGTTGCATGGCATTTAGACTAAGGTCTCTATGGTGCATTCGCGTAAGAGCCTTGTCGGCGAGGAGGAGGAGGAGGCAGCGAACCAAAGGCGAGAGTATTCGGTTGGGAAATCGAAAGCGACGAAAGCCGGTGGTGAGATGGGTGATGAAGTGGTCTCGACTTCGTTGGCAAATGGCAACGAAGCTTCTTCGGCCATTAAAGCATGCCATAATAATCGTGGTTGTCAATAGTGGTCTATTATTATTGGACTCTCATCATCTCGGTATACAATTTGTCTATCCATTTCCAGTCCCGCTATTATGAAGACTTGCTCCATATTAATATGGAGAGAGAGATTATAAGGTGAACTTGATGAGATTTTGATTGTCCTGTGAGTTTCTGGATACTATTGTTCTATATATTTATTAAAATTATTGGTATCATAGGATTGTTTATGTGATAATGTGAATGAGCACAAGTATAATGGAAAGCAAATCTTAAAATATTTTGAGATAAATGAATTCATGTAATTCTATTATATTTAAAAAGATAATTCAGACACCAAACAAACTTGAATAACCTGAGACAATAAATAAGGATTGGTTGATCAATTTTAACCTTCGGAAACTAAAATCTTTCAAATTCGAGCCCAAATTAGTACATTTAGATTCCTTTTAGAAAAAATCAACTTCTTAGACTATTTGCGACCATTTTCTAAATTATTTGAAGATCATCAATGTGAAAAAGATGAGATTTGTAACTATTTTTCTAAAACCTTAATTTAGAGATAGATTTTATTTGGAATAATTTTCTTATTGCTTTATAAAACAATTTTTTAATAAAACAAATATTTTGAGCTAGAAATTTTTATACTGAAAAATTGATTTAAAAAATAGTATTAAAGCTGTCACAAACGGAGCCAAATACTTTTCTAGAAAGTAATTTTGCCAAACAAACCATCAAAATGTTGATTTATTATATTTAGACAACTATGAAATTGAGATATATATAAAGTGGTTAGCCCAAGGGTCATAGTTTAATCAATAGAAGGACATATTCTATAGCCTCCATTACTTGTATCAGTTAATATTTTGGATTAGGACTGAAAGATTTCATTTGATGCAGTTTTTTTACTGCTTACTAAAACAATTTTTTAACATAAAAATTCTTTAAAATAATAAAAAACCAATGATAAAAAAACTCTCCAAAACAAAATTTAAGATTTCAGTTTATATAACTTTTTTACTACTTTTTAAAACATTTTTTTAATATAAATTTTATACTAAAAATTACTTTAAAATACAACAAAAAAGCTGTCCTAAATAACGCTTAATTCTTTTAAGAAATTTAGTATATAGCTCATATTTGAAGACTTATATCAAAACGTTCAATTACGTAGCATTCATCTATTGCATTAAAAACTATATTATAATTAAGGCTTCGTTTGGGATGGCTTTTTTATTGCTTCTCAAAATAGAATTTTAAGAAACAATAAAAAAGCCGTTTCATGCTTCATTTGAGACAACTTTCTTACTGCTTCTTAAAGCAGCTTTCTAGTATAAAATTTTAATTTTTAAACTATTAAGATGTTTTAAGAAGCAATAAAAAAATCGTCCCAAATGAAACCTAAATACAATGAAGTATTTTAGAAATGGAAACATAATAAACAAAGAAATGAAAAGTTTGCATTCGAATAGCATAGTAATGACAAAAGTTTGTGTAAGAGCATATCGTTAATTGTTAACCAAAAATAAGAGACTGAGTAAAAAAGAATACAATTTTTGCACAACAAAAAGAATGTTTAGGCTTAATTACATGCAAAACCCTTCCAAATCAACAACAAGGACGCTTACAAGAACTAACAGCATAACCATATTACAGCACTTCTAATGATCCAACTTTATGAACATAGGATTTGGTGAGATTGCAAATCCAACAGCAAAAGCAATCATATATCACCAAATAATGAAGGCCTGCTGTTTTAACCAAAAACAGCATAGCCGACCTCATAAAATACAAAATTCTATCATCAAGAACATCAAAAGCAAATTTTTTTCACAATAACTAAGACCCTATACCATTAAAAAAGAAAAAAAAAAAAGAATAAGATCATCTGACAAAAATATGAATACCTTCCTTCCAGGAAGGCAAATGCTTCTGAACAAAAAATAACCACCTGAACTCGAGCAGCCAACACATACATTTGCGCAGGCAAAGATAGACCAGAAGACACCCAGCATCTGGTATAAGCTTCCTCCCTTTCAGGGACAAGAATTCTGACAAGCTCGATGAACAGAGAAATTGACATAACTTCAGCTCTAAGAACTCCACAACCAACCAATTCATTCAAGAACTGCAAGCCATAGTATCTCCATGGCCATGGCCCCTGCCAATGAATAAACAACTGCAAAGGAAGTTTTTGAAGGAATAAAAATTCAACCGTTGTTCTCTCAAGATAATGCTGCCTTGTCAATCTTCTCCTTCTCTATTTCTATCTTCCTTTGTTCGGCATGCTGAGCTATGCCATTAGCAAGTGCCTGATGAGTGAAGTCCATGGTCTGCATGACATTCTGAAATCTTGCAGGATTTGCAGCTTGCAAGCCTAGACATCAGCACAATTTGTTGATAAAGTCGGTAAAAAAAAAATTTTCTTGAATTTGTAGTACATGCAAGTCAAGTACCTTTCACTGTTTCCATAAAGAAAATAAAGGGGTCCACATCATCAATAGGAGATTGCATCTCTTCATCATCACTATAATCCTCCTCTGAATCAGCATCATCCTCATCCTCAGGTTGTAAACCCTTTGCCTGGTTTTATAATCAAAACATAGTAAAAAAGTTGCTCGTAATAATATGTAAGAGAAAAATTGAACAAATGAACTGCAAATAATGCAAAAATAAAAAATAATAATAATAAAATAATTGCAACGATTAATTATTTTGTGCGGGAGCAGAACGACGTCCGTAGACCAACTAGAATGCGCCACAGCAGCTCGGTACTGCTCGGTACCGCTCGGCATTGGTGACGTGGCACATTCTGGTTGGTATCTTGACGGTGTTCTACGTCCGGTCTTCGCACTGAATAATTTCTCTCCCCCAACACAAATAAGAATAAGTCCATAACGGATTCAATAAGTTTTTATCAGAGTTGACACAACAAAAACGATCCATAAGTCTCATCAGCAAGGCAGGCGATGCAAAATGTGAACACAGAATATTTTGATAGCCCGGGGTACCAAGCCCACTCAAACTTCATTAAGACTTGGATGGACGACAGACATGCCAAAACCACTCAAGCATCATTTAGTCCTGGAAGGATGCTCACAAAAACAATAGACAAACCCAAATCTAGTTGATGATCCACGTAAACATCAAAGGTTTCTATAAAATGCAAATGTACTCAATAATGAACAAAATAAAAAATATAAAGATTGTGCTATTCACTTTTGTTTCAATTCCAAGCTAATTCTGAGAAAAACCCAAACTCGGATAAGCTTTAAGCCAGTATATTCGATTGTTTAAATGAACGTCACAATGGAAACAGGTGATGGAAAGCAATTGGAAAGCTATCATAAATGTACGTGTGACATAATATACTGTAATAAAGTTAAGAAAACCAGAAAATTACAAAATGTCAACACTTAAGCAAGCTAAACCAAACATTTTACAGAACAAGATACAAAAATCACTAAATTCATAACGTTAACTCTTGATTCATCAATGTTTGAAAATTGGTTTCTATCTCAGCACTCAATTTATAACCATAAAATTTTATAAATTGAAACCTTTAAAAATTTTTGAAGTATTCAATTGTCAGCAACTACTAATTTTAGCATGATTTTAAGTGCCACTGGATACATAGTTCAAATGAAACATCATATCACAAGAAAATGGTAAAAGGACGTCTGAATTTTGTTATTTAGATGTTTTAAATTGTGCTATGGCAAAATCGTGCTGTTCTGCTAAATACCTATTCACACAATCTAGTGATAATAAAATACTTTAATTTGAGCTAGAATGCTAAAAGTATTAAAGCAAAAAATTCTTCCTGAGGGGGTTTTTCCATGCAACGGGATTAAGGTGGGTCTCTACTCTCTACTCTAATTTAAGCAGGCAGACCGCAACATAATAAAAAAATTTTGATTTCATGTCAAGCAAAAAAATAATCAATTCCAATTTACTTTTTGAGTTAGCACAAGCCAAGTCTTTTAATTTAAGAAAAAAAATATTTTCGAAATTCCTATATATATATATATATATACCATACAATTATGCATACATGAATGTCTATATATATGAGTGAATAAACAAGTACAATTGTGCATTTGTACTTAAAAGCAAGTCAATTCCGAGGTGAATCAAACTAATTTTAAATGATGCATCCTGAATCAATGATTTTTTTTTTGAGAAAATTAAAATTCAAGTAATTATTGAGCTAGTTACAAGCTTCAAACAGAATTGCTAGCATTAAACAGAATAATGATTGACCATATTATGATATTTTAAGCATACATGCTCTCATGTTAGAATTAGGTATATTTTTGCAATGAAAAGGATTTCTGTGAAAATAAAGGCATGGGGAAGCTGGATAGAAAGCAATCATTCAGCTAACTAGGGTAGTCGATAAAATAGTAGATAAATAAACAGTTAGCAACTTCATTTATAATTCTGTTAAATTATTATAAAAATGTAAACCCTATTCAGCAAGCATGAGTTTGTGAACCTAGAAGGCAAGCAACCATCTAACAAACTCACAGCTAAAATCTCACGTGGAAACTAAATAAAATCATCAATTTCATCTTTGGATGGTTTCATTTTAAAGCTCAGCAAGAATGGAAAGTTTGGACAATGGCAAAATATCAACCAACCAACGCTGTTGATGTTTACAGACCAAGCAAAATAAACAATAAAATAACTCATCAAAGAGTTGGCGTCAGAATTGCTGTTTACAACATTAAAAAGAATTATATTCTAAAATAAAGGTAGTACGCAAGTAAAGAAGAGTGGGAATCTATGGAGCAACCATGCTTGGGTAAATTTTGGACGGGAAACCAAAATAAAACATATAATGAATAAAAATATTTGATTTCATATCAGATCATGAGGAATCAACTACATCAAGCTTTAAGTTTAGCCGCAAAAGAACCAAGGAAAATTCGATTGATATAAAGCCTGGTGCATTGAAAATTCAAGCAATAAGACAAAACCAATATTTAATCTAAATTTTCAAATAAAAATGTCAGCAGTTCTGAAATTTAGTATGAACTTAATATCAAACTAAAGATACCTGTGCAGCTAATTTTTTGAGCTTTCGGCTGTCTGCCTCATCTCCATCCTCCTCCTCATCATCACCCATGTCTCTGTCAGATTCATCATCCTCATCATCGTCAGTTTGGAAGCCATCCATATCATCATCTTCAACATCAGCTTCCTTCTTGGCTTCTGTTAGAAAAGTTCAAATAATTATAGCTTGAACCAATCTTAGGAAGTAAATAACAAAAAGCAAATGAGCACTGGTTTATGCGTTTCAACCGGATTTCATTAACAGAATAACAAATTCCAGAAAATCATTAAAGCATTCAGAGCAACATGGCCACGCATTGAATATATACATGACACCGCACACAAAACACTCCAATGGTGTGCCAAAATAGACAAATCAAGGAAAAAATAAAAACCATAGAAAAACATTGACGGAAATGAATGTTTTGAGAGCGCAATGGTGAAGTCGAAGTTAAAATCATATATGTGATTCAAGTAATAGATCACCTGCAACTTGATCCTTATAAGCCACAAGAAGTTCTAGAGTTGCACAGAACACACGCCCTAAAGCATCTGCTGGCAGTTGTTCCTCGGAAAGTGCAATAAGTGAAGTTAGCCCCAAGCAGCACACCTTCTTGTCATATTCTCTGAAATCATGGTAACATATTGAGGTTGAAATAATGGTGTAAATTGGCCAAGCCACCTTGCGTGTGCTAACAGGAATGTGGAGGAAGGAGAGATCAAGTACCGTCTAAAATTCGCCCTAGCACCACTCTTCTTAATCTCTTGTAGCATCTGAAACCACCTATTGAAAACTTCTGACGCAACACCAAGCTTATGCAGTATCCCAAGGGTCAAAGAACCATTGTAATACAGGGCATCAGCAATCTACAAAAAAGAACCCAAAAAAATTATTTCATTGTCGCAAGACTGTAAGTGAAGACATCATGAAGGTGAACAACACTGCTATGTCAGCAAACCACCAAAAAAATGATTTTAATTATCAATAAGAAAGTCACAAGAAAATGTAGGAGATATTACAAGAATAGAAAATTTGAAAAATAAATACACCAAAATAGGCACAGGATTTTAAGCGATCATTACCCACATAAGCCTTTTGCTTAATGGAAATATATCCTAAAATTTTTATTAATAGAAAGTAAGGCACAATCTTATTTAAATATTAAATTCCACGCATGAGGCTAGAAAAAAAAAATTTAAAGGTCACGGGGCTTAGACTTGAATTATAACCACTATAAAGGTAACAAGTAAATATTCAGCTTAAGTTAGAGCTCTTTTCGTTTCCCATATAAACTATGCCATAGAACTTGATAGAAAGCATCTGGTCTCTAAAACATAATTGATTTTTCATATTATCATGTTTAAAATTTGTCAATTTAGTAACATATTATGTGATTCTACCACTTTTATTTAATATTTGATTATCCCAAATGCCAATTATTTAAGTAACTATTCACTAACGTACAATTACGTATATTTTACGTATTGTACTTATGCTTCTTACAGTCTTTAGAGTTAAATTTGATCAAAGTTATTACCATAGGCTGCCAACAAAAGCACATATATCAGGCTGTTAGGCACTGGATGCTGAACATGTATTAATGGTTTTTAAATTGTGATAAAGAGAATAGATAGAAATAGCAATTCTCCTTTTTCTAGTGCAGACTAGATGGCACACGACATAATAAAGATCCCCATGAACTGATTGTATTCTATAAGGACATTCTTACATGGAAAGAAAAACATTAACAGTTATAATGATTAGGTTCCCGATAACAGTTTCAAGAAGACAAAAAAAAAGAGAGAAGTGGCATACTTGAATCTATTTCGAAAATAAATAAAAAATAATAAATCTTACCACTTCAATTAGAAGGCATCGTAAGGATGACTTCTCCGTTCTTAGAAGGCGTTCAATTGTGATCCGGAGATATGGTTCAACCCAATGATCCAACTGACCTTTACAATTCTGAAATAGCACTTGAATAAGTTTTGGTGCAGGATGGATATCATTATCCTCCATATTTTTGTCTGCCATTATCTGCATATTTTTCAGAAAAACTACAAATTTTACATATATCACCACCAAAGTTTCCCATGTTATTCATTAATTTCCAAGAATAAGGTAGTAGTGCAAACCAAAAACTGGAAGAGTAGAACAGAAAGCTAGAAAGGTTAATTTTATTCTGTTTTCTGATAGTATACTTCCAATCATGTTTGACACATATATCATGCAAGTTTTACTCTAGCGAAAAAAAACTGGAAAAATGACACTTACATTGTACCACTTCCTAAATGGAAAAGATTCACAATTATATCTGCATCCTGAGGGTAATTCTTTAAAAAGGCTTCTTGTAATCCATGCATGCGCAACTACAGCACTTGATGTCAATTTTATAAAAAACGTTAAAATAAGTAAATGTTTTATACTATTCTTTTTTCTTTCATAATTTGATGATGTGGAAAGGGGCTGCTAAAGTCACATATATCTCAAATATAATATCTAATGATTTGAAAAAATTAGTTGTAGTCCAAGTAATTGATTCTAGGCAACGAAAAGGATCTTTTGATGAATCCGGATATCATTTTAGTTCCATTAAAAGTAAAGAAAAGTAACTTCATATGTTGATCAAAATAATATCATGACTACAGCTAGCTAAAGATAACAACAAAACAAATGTTATATACAATTATCAATAATCAAAATAACTTCAGCCATGCTCCTAGTGAGCACATACATTCACATCCCAAAACATTAGATTCTTTTAAATACTAGCAATCATATGGAATTACAAAAATCAACAAGAGATCACTAAGCATACAATAACTGGTAAATTTAAAGAAATCATTACCATATGCAGTCAAATTTCTTCTCAAGCAGCATTATGTGGAGAAACACAGCTAAACAAATAATATAAAGAGATAATTTTGTTTGATAGCATGAAGAAATTCATCACTCACGGAAGAAAGCATATTCCAGAGGCTCTGCTGGTAATCAGGCTCTTTGCTTGTTAGGAAATGTGTAGTGCCTCTGGATATATAGTTGTCCAGCGGAATAAGAATATCTGCAATGTAAGTGGCTTAGACAGTTTCAAGAGTGTTCATAAGATAAATCAGAGAAAAATCACATAAAGTGACCACAATAAATTTTTATTTCATCCAATTGTATTATTAAGATAGCATTTATCAGTAATATGTCTTCATTTTTCCAGATTCATGAAGAAATACATAGCCAAAAATCAGAAAAAGATAGAGAGAGAGAGAGAGACAGAGAGAGAGAGAGAGAGAAAGAAGGGCAATTTGTTAACCAAGTAAACCTAAAAAGAGTTGTGAAACAAATACACTCATATTAATTCTCTTTCATCTTTAGGTATTGGTGTTCTTGTATGCTTTGCTCTGCTACACAAAATACACAACGTTTATCAAATTAGATCAATGACTAACCAAAAAAAGGTCAAAAATAATCCTCCAATTATTCATATGTTTCAAATTTAGTCCCAGAGTATCTTAGTTTTTTCAGTTTAAGCCCTTGACTAAAAGAATCTCAAATGGTCCCTCAGAGACTAAATTAGGATCAATTTTGTATTTCAACTTCAATCAATTTCTACTTGAGGTGCCTTTTGGGAATAGTTTTATATAATCGAGAGACTAAATTGAAGAATGTGATATTCTAAAGCTAAATTAGCCACGTATAAAAAATCAGATGACTATTTTGGGCTTTTTCCCTGACTAACTAGGTAAACACTAGAACTTCTTATCATAAGATGCATAAATTATATACAGGAAGGCATTTTTCAAACTCACTTCCATATAAGAAATATTCAACAAGCAAAATTTATAGTTAAATATAGATGTCTCTATCTCACATAAAATTCATCCTCACAACAGTCCTAAGAACTTCTACCATAAACCTAACCGTCAATGTGATAGGAAAAACTTGGGTTCGCAAGTAAACCTAACCGAAATCAATACCAAAACAAAAGAAAACTGCTGTTTTCAGCAGGAAAACAGCAAATCGCAGCAGTTTTAGTGGAGAAAACTCAAGGAAAATGGAGAAAAACAATATAATTCACTAGTAGATTCAAGAACACAAACAAAGATACAATTTCCTTCAATCCGAGAGGAAGGAATGACTCTCCAAATCTCTAGCCGTAGCCTAGAGCCCAAGAACACAAACCCTAGATCTCCCAACCAAATTCAAATGCAAGATCCTCCCCCCTTTTCCTCCTAACCTCCTAATTAACCATAAAGGAGTTTTACAAAATGTCTAAACAGCCCCTCGCATTCAAAATTTCCCTCCCAAAATTCTTCCCTGGCCCCCGTCGACTTTGCTCCCTCCGCTCGGTTCCGCTTGCGGGTTGCGTTTCCGTCGCGAGAAGACCCGGACCGGTCCGGGTTGGACCGGTCCAGCCGGCCCCTCCTGGGCCGGCGTAACACAATGCTACCCAATTTTACTATAATATCACCATCATCATTGCCAGATTTGCACAGTATTGCTCCTGACAGCAAGTAATCTCCATTGCAATGTCAACATAGCACATCACTTCATAAAATCACCCCGTGGCTAACACTGAAGAAAGTCACTCAACCAACCGCTTTGAATACGAAAACCAATAATACACCGTCCAAACCATGAACAATTAGTATCACAGACTTCACAAACATAATCTGACACAAACCCTCATCTTAAAGAAAATGCAAAGTGTGAGATAAACATGAAATAAATAAAAAAAATGCAAGAACTTATCAATAATTTAAAGGATTTTAATTTGAAAATTACTGTTATAACATTCAAAATAACAATACAATGTTGACATGTTAATAAAATAATGCAATTAAAGAGGAATAATATGATTCAAGATTGGAAAAGAACTATTCTAATGAAAAATCATTTAAAATCAAGAAAAAAAATTTAAAGCAGAAAATATTAAATCTAATAATTCAAAATTTCAAATACACTTCTATCCATGTATGTACGATATGCCCTTTATATGCCAAAACTTCAGACATCCAATGGCTTCATTCACTGATATATAAACTTTCAAAACAGCTACTAGCTATTAAGTCATTAGTTGTACTGGCAGCCTGAGCATTACTACGCAAGTTGTCCTGTAAGATGCACCCTTAACGCAAGGTATAGTGAACATCAATGATTAAAAATAGCGCACACTTCAAGGACCGCCTCATTATGAGGTGAACAAAAAATATCTCAAGGCTTAAGTTACGCCTTTTTTCCTGAGGCATTTGAGATCACCTCAAATTAATTATAATATACTTAATAGTTAACATAACTTAAAGTATACTCATGTACCTTCTTTTTTCTAAGTTAGTTGAGCAATATAGGATTTTGGTCAAGCGAGCAGCTGCGAGTAGAGTGAAATAAGTATCGAGTGCAGAAGGTAGCAAGTAGGTATTCCACAAGGAAGGAATACTAAGAGCATTAGAGTGGTTAGAGAGTGCGCGTATTTCTGTAAGAGTGGTTTTAGGGTTAGTTTTTTTTCTTTTATTTTCTTTTAGAAAAAAGACATAATTTACTTGATTTTCATTTAATACATTTACTTTCATTTATTTTTTTAACTTATTTTTACTCATTTTTCTTTTAAGTAATTTCTCTTATGCTCAATATTTTATTTTTACTTTTTCCTGTTTTTATAAGTTTTCATTTTCTTCAGTTTGAGCTTTGCGCCTCAATCTACCTTGAGGTTTAAATCATGCCTCATTAAGAAAAAATACCTCAATTCCCAATTTCGCCTCTTTAAATTTTGGTAAACACAATCAAATTATAACTAAACTAAAATTGCAATCTATTATAGTAGATAAAATAGTCAAACGCTATCTTATAAATTCTAATTTCTAAGACTATAAACAAATAAGTAAAAAGAAATAAGTTTAATAAAAAGTGATCCAAAAAATCATGAGGCAGAAAATGTCTTTAGAAACATTAACAAACTTTACCAACTTGCCTACTACCCTAAATACATGTTCAAAAAGAGCAAAAGCAAAAAATTGAAGCTCTTCACCCCCTTGCAAAATAAAGGCCACACTTCATGGATTTATATTAACAATAATTTAAATGTCTTTAGAAACATTAACAAACTTTACCAACTTGCCTACTACCCTAAATACATGTTCAAAAAGAGCAAAAGCAAAAAATTGAAGCTCTTCACCCCCTTGCAAAATAAAGGCCACACTTCATGGATTTATATTAACAATAATTTTTAGTATTCCAACGATATAAATAAGACTATAAATAAGAATTTAAATAGAAAATGAATACTACTTTATATCCTCAAAATTGTGAATATTTTCTCCTCATTAGATGCCTTGTATTCGCCTTTTATGCCTCTATGGAGGCACTCATAATCAATCAATAATACACAACATGATTTTTAACCTCTAGGGTGGCAATGCAACAAGGTTAATCTTATAACCCCATCCATCGTTACCGCTCCCCACTCTCATTTATGTCGCAAAACAACACCTGAATACCTCGCTACCTCACAAATCTCAAGCACCATATCGCATAGCTTGCGCCCCGATTGCTCAGACTCTCAAGCACCACATCACTTACTTGTGTTCCAACACACACTCGTCCCACAAAAATTGCTCAATCATCTACCCTAGTGTCTGCTCTCTCACGCATCAGAATCCCAATGCTTGTTCCTTATGCACATCACAAACCCAACTACCCAATCTTTATATATCTATCTATTGTGTATGTCCACCCTTGTAATGCCTCACACAACAACCCCGAAATGCCTCATAGCTCATGCATCCCACACTCACAACACCTCACCTATGATGAGCCTTGGTTGGCTCCCATTTATATGTGCACAAAGCAACTTGATGCTATTCGCCCCCAACTTAAGGCCTAGCATGTTTTGCTTCACCCACTCTCAATGATCTAAGCAAACTCTTAGATTCTATGTACCTCTCTCTTTAAAGTGTCATGACTTCTTCATTTTCTCTCAATGCGGCAAACCCATCTACCATCCATACACAATCTCCTATGATAGAGGGATGTTTGTTTCCTCATTAAATCTCATGACAAATTTCAATGTTGTGATTTATCTCCCCCGATTCATAATGAAACCATCAAATTTTTTAAATGGAAAGCATCTATGTTGTATTCACATGGTTACTAAATAGTCTCGAAATATCCATTACCTCAACTATAATGGTGACTTTCATTTCATTTATTTCTAACAAAATAATATGTGTGCATCTACATCTTATATTATCAGATCTTTTATCTTCAACATTATGATTTTTACATCCAAGAATACTACAATATATTGAAAAGATGATAGGATGAACTTCAACAATACAAATAATTTACCAATGAGTTAAGCATTTGGTAAAATAGAATGAGCTTCTTGTGGTTAATTCTTACTTTGAACTTCATTACTCCATCCAACATTTATAATCTCAAATGGTGCCCAACATCGCCAATATTATCTTCAGAGTTTTTGGGTCACTGAGCTTTCAACTTCCACACCACTAGTTTCTACCCAATCTTCCCTTGCTACTAGGCATCTTGATGGTTGTGGTTGTGGGGTTGAATAAATGATGGTCATGGTAATCAAGGAAAATCCTTTACCCCTTACACTCGTTAGAATATTATGATTTTGTATCATTCAACTCTCCCAAACATGTGTTTCTCTCATGCAATTTCCTTTAATGTTTTTTATTCAATTTCTCATGCTAAAATCACCCACACTCATCTCATACACCCTTTCAACATCTCGTACATTTCTTTTATTCACCTTCTTCCAATCCCTAATATCTTCTTCATGTGAACAACTCCAAGTAAATCCTCTTCATTGATCATCTTTGCATAGCCAATTCACTTTCATCAATTTTTGTGCCAAAAAGTTTTACAACACATGCTCCTCATAGAACCTTTTCATGCGAACATTCTCAAAGCCTTTTATGCTCATTTATTTGTGGCACCTTGGTCACACGTTAATATCTTCGTGTTGGCACAATGTAATCTAGCATCTCAATTATTTATTTCTAGCAGCTTCACAAGCTCGCAATCTTAACGTTTTCCAATTGCTATCCTATAGACATGAAAACTCTCGAGCTACTTGCTTCCTACTCATAGCTCTAGCATCCAAATCCTCTCATCTCTAACTCAAGTATTACTAGTAATGCTAATAGTTCAAAGCCTTTAACTTTACTCCTACAACCACAATTTCAATTTTTCTTGTTTGTCTTTTTTTTTTCGTGAAACTATAAATTACAATCTCTGTTTAAAATTGCGCAATAAGAGGCGCGCCTCTGCGCAATTTGTCCCAAAACCGCCTCGAAGCTTACGCAATTCCACCCCTGGCAGAGGCGTATGCCTCACTTGGACTAAGGCGCGCCTCAGAGGCGCAATTGCGCAACTCTGGGTGAGGCGTACGCCTCATGGGTTTAGGGCCCACCCACTTAAAATGAAGTTTTTTTCTCCTTATACCCGAACGACAATAGCTCTCCCGAAATTTTCCCATCCCGCAAAGCTTCAGTTCGCGAAACAGAGGGCTCCAGCACGGTGCTTACCCGTCGGCTTCCCTTCCCGCCGCTTCTCCCGCCAGCGCCGCCTCTCTCCGGCGAAGTTGAAGTTTCCGGCCGCCCTCTAGGAGTACTCCACATTGAATTTTAAGTATTTTTTTTTTAGTTTAGGGTTTGATTTTTCAAGTGTAAGAAAATCTAGGATTTATGTTTTTTAGATTGTTTTTGTGTGTTTTTGGATTTTTGCTTTAGGAGACATGATTAGAGGTAAAGAAAAGGTGAATACGTCATTGCGGCGTGACCCTTCTTAGAAATATAGCGTGCAAGTTGACGTAGGAGGGGGCGAGAAGACGTATGTCTATTTAAAATGCAATTTTTGTGAGAAAGTAGTGAAGGGCGGAGCAACACGCATGAAGGAACACTTATCATACTCTCATAAGAACGTAGCCCCGTGTGCAAAAGTGTCGGACAATGTGAAGGATGAAATAATTGCTTACATGAAGAAAACTACCACGGAAAAACACTTACAGCAGGAGCAATTTGATGAAAGGGGTCGAACATGGTGCTTATTTTGGGAGCGAGAGTGGAAAGGGGTCTTCCTCCACTATACATAATAGAGGAGCGCAGGGTCCTATGGATCAGTATATGACTAATCCAGGAGAGGATAGAGGACAAGCAGAGATGATGCCTGCGGTTGGTACCAGAGAGGGTTGTCGACAGGTTTGCATGGACATTGGGAGGTTTTTTTTTGAGATAGGGAGCTTGCAGATTTACAACTTGTTCTATTCCGGAATAAATAGGGTTTTTTTGGTCTGAATGCAGCAAAATCAACCATTTCCAAACGGTCTCCAGGTATAGTTATTTTGGTAAATGCAAGACACTTTATTTAGTTCTGATTATCTTTTTTCTTCTTGAAAACAGTTGAATGGTGGATCCAATTTGGTGATTCCACCCCTGAGTTACAGAGTTTTGCTGTAAGAGTGTTGGGCCTCGCTTGTTCTACTTCTGGATGTGAGTGAAACTGGAGTACATATAGTCAAGTGCAAACAAAGAGAAGAAATCGCCTATTAATACTCAGAATGAACTCTCTCGTATATATTACGCACAACAAGAGGTTAAGAGATAGAAGGTTGAGGAATAAGGGGTTGAAGGATGATGAGGACCCGTTGTTGTGTGATGATGTGTCATCTGATAATGAGTGGTTTATAGATGATGAGACAGATTTGCCATTATCAGACTTACAGCTAGAGGATCTAAGTGTGGATGTCTTGAGAGGCGAAGCAGATCAAGTGGGCACATCCACTACACCACACACATCCACTAGCTCTGCAGCACAACAATCAAGTAAAGGTATATTCCACAACTTCTTATATGCTATTGCATTATATTTATATCAAGTGAGCAATTAACATGATAATGATCTTTTCTCTTATTGAACAGGGAAAAGAAAAGTGAGTCATATTGAAGATGATGATGATATGTCATTCATAGATACAATTGGAGAAGAAGATTCTCTTGAAGACCCATTTAGTGATGGGATATGATTGCATTTTATATGTTCTTTGTACTTTGGGAGTTTTATTAAACTAATATTTTATGATTTTGTACTTTGAAACATGATTTTATTGCATATATTTTCTTACTTTCGACTATTTTCATATATCATTTAGATGTTTTTATTGTAAGATAAAATATTGCTATTATTTACCTGCTAAAACCCTTAATTTCTCATTTACGCAATTCTGTGTCCGTGAGGCTTACACCTCAGACCGCCTCAAGGCTTAATTACGCAATTTTAAACCTTGATTACAATATTGATAAACTTCTTGCGTTAATAAAAACTAGTAAATCCAAAGGATCAAATACAATTATAGAAAATATTGGTTAGTGTAAGACTAAAATGATATTTAATGTTCATGATACAAGTTTCCCTCCACCTCAATTTGATTTTATTGGATTTAGTAGAATCCCAAACCTAAAACCTTGTAACTTGATCAATTCTTGTAAATCATCAAACATAAACCAACCTCAAACCAAACAAAACAATTATTTCTATCGGTCATCAATTATAATTAAAAAAAAGAATTATTTATAGTGATCTGAATGTTTTACTTTAGCCAATTTTCATGCCAATCTCAATCAGCCATTTTAATCATTAAACGTTAAGCCTCATGTTGATTACTCGAACACAAAGACAGTTAAATTCTGGTGAATCAGGTCATATTAGATCTTGATAAATTTGTAACCTGATCTCAAGCCCAGGAATATGATCTCCCTCAAACCCAATTTGGCGCTAAAACTGCAATTGCGTCACCACAGAAAACATCTTTGAAAGGGTGGAAAACACATTAAGGAGGAAAAACCAATACAAACCACCTTCAATGACCTCAAGTTGGTACGTTGATGCCAGAATATTGTGGGAAGATAAGAAAAAATCAAATATTTTTTTATGAGATAAAGAAACACTATGATTCGCACTTTGATCAAGCCCTAGATTCCTTCATTTCCCCAATCACTATGTTTCCTAACTTCCACTACAACAGGTGCCGCAGACAACACATAACAGGTTATGCCTCCCTAACTGCATCCATTATTTGCTTTTTTCGTGTAACATGAGGCTTCCTCCAGCATTGGGATTATAGGCAAAGTACTCAACACGTCAAAAACAGTCAAGGGAGGAAGCTATCATTGCAAAAATATCATTCAAATTTGTGTTCAAAAATGATACCTAAAGCATAGAAATGGGGGGAGGGCTGACATCTCTTTCATTTTTACAAGATCAATCATCCAATCCTCTCAGTCTAAAAGCTGAAGAATTGCAGAACTATGAAGCACTGATGCATGGCAAAGTAGGATACAAGAAAATTGGAGATTGAAAGAGAAAGAAAAGGGTCACTAGGTTTAGCCCACACCTTTGCTACCTTCCTTAAGGCTCTTGGTGACAATGGAAAAGCAAGTTTGGAAGCAAATCAGGCATTCTATAGGTCATCCCCTGAAAAATGCACTACTTGCCCAGCTGTTTTCTTTTAATAAAAATTATAATAAAAAGGTCAAGATGCATTTGATCATGTTGATAAAGTCAGCACGTCTTCTAATTACAAAATAAGATAAAAGTTCGTTCATAATCACCATCTTCACTAGCCTTATCCCAACTAAAAAAACAAATAATAGGCATTGTTCAGAGACCTTTTGTATTTTGAAAAGGCACATTAAACTGTGTTCCTTCAAAGAGTTTGTCCACTGAGCGTCACAATTGGTGATCTCTGATGCAAAAGCACAAAAGATGTTCAAATATGAAAACATTTAAAAGGATTTAGGGTGAGATAACGAATGGGGAAGTGGGAATTAAGATTGGACATTAACTCACTACAAAACTAGCATGCAAGTTTATTGATGAACTACTAACTTAAATGAAGTTGCGTCATGGATAACTAAAGCATTCAGATAAGAAAATGTCAAAAATAAAGGCATCTTTTTTGTCAAACAAATACATGAACTAAAAGAGCCATGCTAAACAAAATTGTAAATAAGAAAAAAGCACAAGCTCGATGAACATATCAAAAGGGGCCATATCTGATTTATAAACTCACTATCAAAGTAATCTATAGCCCAATCATTGAGTGCTTCAATCATAAGAGGCCAAAGAGACCACATCTCCAAAGATATCGATGGGGAATAAAACGTCATGTAGGAGACCATCTCTAAGACCTCCTCAAAAACGTCTGTAAAAGCATGTCAAAAAATAAGTGAATTAATAATGATCACAGATAAAAAACAAGGAATATGTACTGCAGCTTGAATAATGCATTGGCAATTTTAAGAAATGAGAAACAAACAATTTTAAGGATGAAAAACAAAAGAACAACCCAAACCTAAAGAACGTCTAAAAAAGGGAAGATTTAAATTAAAAATTAAAAAAAAAAAAAAAAAAAAAAAAAAAAAAAAAACTTGAAAGATAGGCAACCTGAGTTACATTTCTAAGGTAACACGGTAATGTAAAACTAAGAAGATAAAAGGCAAGACTATTACACCATCCTAGCTAGCATCATGCAACCTCACAAACAGCAGCAAATCAAATTTTCATTTACAGGGTATTATAGTACTCGCAAATATCTCGGTTTCAGTCCTCGAGCATTCTTAAATTCAACCAATTTGACCACAAAACCTAAGTAGAATTCAAATAATATTGTACTTTAGACAAATGCCTTCCACATAAATTGTTCAGTAGAGTCATAATCATGCATCATTTATAAAAATCAAACATTTCAATTATAAATAGCATAACTTCAAAAAACGATAGTTCAAAAAAAGCACTAAACCAATGAAACAAGATAATTTTCTTTCATGCTTTCTCTAACTTCACCACTGCTACAAACTCAGAAGTTACAGATCTATGAAAGTCCTTAATCTATGCTGTAAGTTGTGCACTGATGGCCAAAAACATTTAACTGACGAAATAACAACAAGAGCACATGGAGAGCAGAGCTAAAACAATTTCTATTTTACTTGCATGCAGCCCAGGCAAAACGATGCAATTCTAAAAATTTCTCCACGATTGGATCAACTATCAAGAACTATTCTAAAAATAAACTTCTTTTCTGAAAAAAAAATAAAGTTTGCCATCTCAAATACAACAAATTTAAAAGGAAAAGATTTAGGACCTGTTTGGGTAAATGTTATAAAGATATTATGGTTATCTGGAATACTGGATAGTAATGATACTAAGGTAGCAGTTTCTGTTATCTTTCAAATTTAGAGTGCCTGGTTTAATATAATTTTGAGGAATAAAATGGTATTCAGAATAATTAATGATAATTAAAACCTTTTTTTCTTCTTGTCTTTTAAGTGATCGAGAGATTAATGTAATATACATAGCATCCAATTTAGCATATCTAAAACTTGGCTGCTAACATTATACAAATTACCTCAATTGGGATATAACATCAAAGCTAACATCTTATACTTACATCAAAGAAAACATTATTGATTGTATCAAACAACCCCTTAGTACCTTTGGTAGTAAATGATTCAATGATTAATAGAAGAATTTAAGAAGTATTTTTTGTCTGGAATGAATATAAACCATTCAAGCTGGTAAGAAATGTGAATCATCCACGGAATTCCACAGTAAAAGATTTTCTCAACAACAAAAGCTCCCGCCGCGCAACTATTTAAACAAAATAGTAAATTCCATACTTAGCAGACATTACGAATGAGAACACCTTGGTATGGCAAATAAGAATACAAATTACACAGTTCACTAAGCAATGATACCTTGTCCATCTGTAGTCAACATCTTCCGCATAATTGGCAACAATGTTGGCTCAATCTGGACGTAAAGATGAGGAAGTCTGCTCACAGATTCAAGAATTGTGCTTATGGCACGCAAGCAGCCAACAGCAGCAAGAGCACCTGAGTCATCCCCTTCATCTTCAGCTTCGGATGCATTCAAGCACCTCCAAAACGCAGCAGCCTTGACATAACCAGAATAAAATGAATAAACAGAATAAACCAACACTACAGCCCTGAAATAAGAACTATAGCGTTACCAAATTTTGGCATAATCCAAGAGCATATGGAGCCATCTCTTCACCAAATTTATCAACAATCGTTTCAAGAGTGAATACAAGATCCTCATTCTCGACCTCATTCATAAGTTTAAAGAAATCTAGAAAATAAGGCATTAACAAATTATGTAATCCATAGCATCATAAACGCCAAATTAAGAGTGTCAGCGCATACCATCAAGTAATTGAGGAAGCATGGGACGTATCTCATCTAGATCTGAACAAGAAATAATTTATCATTGTTGTATATTTCGAAAAAAAAAATGCTAACACCACAAAAAAAAAATCCATGAAATCATCATACCTTTACATGCTTCAACAAAAGGACGCAATGCAAATATAGAATCTACACGAACAGGAAGCTCTGGATCCTTCAAACCAGAAACAATACAGTGCAATGCTCTACGGAAATTGTTTTGGTCTGAAAAATTAGTGTATGCATATTGACCTGCAACCCATGCTGCCTATAGACCAAATAAACAAGAAGAATCACAAAAAGGTCTTCCTGCAAAGATAAGCAACTTGTGAAAAGTAAAGGTCTCATGAATGCTATAAATTCAACCACCTTAGCTCTAAGGTATCCAACGGGGCTTGTAAATTCAGGGAATACATGTTGCACCAACATACGCTCAAGTTCTGACTTATAAGGCTCAGTTTGCTTTAATTTATCACATAATGTTCCAATTGCAAGAAGAGCGCCATCTTTTTGCCGATATGTTTTTAACTCAATACTCGCCTCATCGTATCTAAATATAATTGCATACAAAAATTAAAATCCTAAATGAAAATGATAGCGGCATCTTATATAACAACCTATATAAATAAGTAACAAGTACCTCCTTAATATCTCCACAATGAATTGAACAAACTTCTGAAGGTTCCCCTTACCACGTTTTCTCACTAATTCACTCACAAAGTCCATAGCTGCAGTCCTTGGACTGTACAGATCTTCAATGATATCTACAAGGGAGAGTCAATATCAAAAGCATAGTTGAATTTATATTAGGAAGAATAAGATTTCAACATGTTCTCTTAAGAAAAAAATTATGAGTGAAAGCTCACCATATCCTTTCCGAACATATTCATGAGGATCTTCATTCCACAATCTCTGATCATTGTCATTGAAGCACATTAATGGAAATATAATCTCAAAAAGAACTATATCCAATTGTGGCTGCAGCAGCTGATACATGCTACTTCTTGAAATACTGCAATAGAAGACAATGATCAACTTGAATTGATGGTTACACAATCAATATATAAATATCTTTATCAGAGCTCAATAATTACAATGGTAGATCAAAGCTACCACCCAACCCATACAGCTCTAATACAACAAATCAATGACAAATATTTGATGACTTCACACCAAAAATTTTAGACAGAACTACAGCAAATCATAATCAAGTATCAGGAGGATTACCCGAGCTAAAAATCATTCCCCAATGGGTCTGAATGCATATATTAGAAGGACACCACCCTAACAATTCAAATTTTCTAAACCTTGAAAGGGACTGCATTGAATTAATCATCTTCTAACTCATTCCAAGTTCTTCCATCGAACTGCCATGAAAAATATGTACAATATGAACCAAAACATAAGCACCAGCAAGTAGTCAAATTGGATGATGCCTGAAAGTGAAAGGTATATAATGCAGATGCTAAACTGCTAGCATTCAAATTATTCAAGGAAGCCAAAGATTTTCAGTTTGTTATGCTTCAGCTTTCTGTCAATTTCCACACAAACTTTGGCCCAAACATGCTCATCCAGTTGTTTAGAAAGTTAGAAGTCATTCCAATTATATGTATCGCATGTCGCCGCATATAAAAAGAATATCTCCTCTTCCTATGGCATTGTCCAACTTTGCAAATTATGATATAGGCTAAAAGAATTTCTGTATATTTCTCTTCCATTAATAAAGTTAAAAAGAACTTGGATAGCCAAATTAAGCATGATAGACAAGAAGGCCTCCCATGTATCTTCAACTTTCATGAGCAAATGAATAGAATAAATTCATAGCCTCTTTGGTGCTACGAAATGACCTCAGGAAATAAACCTAGGAGATAAGAGTATAGTTTCACCAGGATGTACAGTAGAATTTTTCCCTAATGGTCAACACCAACTACGCTAATTTTCTAATTTCTTCAATTTTCAAGCAAGAATGACGGTTTTGGTAAATTCAAAAGAAAACCAACTTACAATATTGAAACTTTCAATAAAACCCCTCCAGTAGCATACATCTCCCAAATGTGTTGGCTTCTTTATTAATATATTTCAATTATATAAGGGCATACTATTCAAATCATTAAAACAGAAGCTACATTTTATTCACCAATGGGCTCTAGCTCAGAAGATATGTTCCCTGATTCCTAGAGTAGTGGTCTCAAGTTGGAGTCCTACCTACATCGTGCTTTCAGTTGAATATTCCATAGCTCTTGCATGGAATTTGGTTTATATCTGGCCTTGAGCCATCCTTATCTGTAATTAGCCTTGTGCCACCAAGTGCTCTTTTTGCAGTTAATATATATGGAGAAATAGCTTTTAAAAAATATTCATTTTATTCACAAGGAGAAATAACTTTACATAGCAGATAATCTTAAATATGAAAACACCCCACCACCCCTAAGGTCCAGAAATCCCTATCGACCATCTGTGGATACCAATTTGTTCAAGGAAAGTCAGGCTTGACCTTCTGCAAATAAACAAATAAAAGCTCCATGTATCATGCATATTACAGCAACAACTTTCAACAGAACCCATCAGTACGAACAAGTTTGATAAAAATGTGGATAAAAGATAATAGATAACAGATCCAGAAAATATTACTGAAAAATGAAACTCCTGAGAACATCCTGAGAACACTAAAGAGTGTTAAGCAACTCAGTTATATGGATGGCGGTGCTTTCACATGCTTGAGGGGATTTGATCGACTAAGTACTTGATCATGGATTCTTTTATGCAAACGACAACTGGTAGCAGAAAGATGCAGCTTGGGATTTTGGACACAGTTACAAAGGCCATGAATGATTGGATAGCCATCATGTTGTCGCATTTTAAAAGTTCATGAAAGGACCAAAAGATAGATGAGCGATAAACTGCGTTATTAAAAAGTAATATTAAATTTACTTGCAACTTTTCAACTTCAGAACTTCTTCAGCATAAAAGCACAATAATAATCACTACTGATACATTTTCCGCAAATCATAACTCATTTTACTGCCTTTTATTAACTTCCAATTTTGTTTATCTTTCTTCCCCAAATCTTCTTTTGTAAAGTAATTAGCATATGCATGAAACTTCAAAGAATTAAGACAGTAACACAAGGAAACTTCACCGCATCTAAAATTCCAAGACAACTCCACATTACAGTCACAGCTTTTTAATACTCTATATTCCCTATTCAAATAGCATTTAATGGTTACTTACTAGATGAGTAAAATTCTTCTACGAATAACAGACTACATTAAAATAAGGCTTTCATGTTTGCCCGATAAATTGCTGGTGATATTCTCTCTCACAGCTATCCCATTCAAAATCAAAAGATGCAAGGTAGTCTGTTTGGGTTTGGTGGTAAGAGGTAGAAGGGATCCCAACACCCAACCAGCGGTTCAAACACTGCAGCTTTGTTACTCTTCACATCATGAATATCTATTTTAAAACTAAGCCAACAGATAACAGAATAGGTCATCAATACACTTCATGACATCAAAAAATAAAAAGAAAAAAAAAATAAATTTATGTAAGGATTTTTATGAACAGCAAGTTATTTCATCATATTACTTTCAACATTTTATATAATAAAAAATGCAATTAAATAAAAGTAAAAGAATAGGAATTTTTTGGGTCAGAAGCCTTTGCCACACATCCATAGCGAATATTTATATCACAACTATCTATGGCAGTAAATTTGCAATAGATTATAGGGAAAACTACAACCAACACAAAAACCTTACTCAAGCCAAAACTTTACTCATGCCATAACAAACTCATTGAGAATTTTAATGAAAGATAAAATATAAATCCCTACTTGTTTAATTGACCTATTGTTTTGTCAAATGTGTTCGGTGCATTGAATAGAGCTTAAGATGACCTGCTAACCAAAAATACCAACTATCCACAACAATTTCTAGCCACTAATACTAACTAGTAAATAGACTAAATTGTTAGTAATAATAAGTGAAAAATATAAAACCACAATTATTATTTTGCATGCTACCAGGTTGAACGAGTTCCATGATCAATAATTCTATTAAATAATAGTTCACTATTTCAAATTATAGATAAATGATATGTTTTACACAACCAGATTGAACCATCAATCACTAAGGAGAACCAAAAAAAAATAACTAGAGGAAATTGATTAATGAAATTTGCCAGAAGAAAATAAAATGAACAAATATCATGTAGAAATATGAATGAAAAGTAAAATCGTTTGAATTAGAAGTTATAGCTCATCATTTTTCTTCACAGATACAAAACTCTGCCTACAAATCAGTCAGAAGAATAACTACAGCAGGTAAGAAGACATGATTGTAAATATATGAAATGATTTCAACTTCAACACTGTTGGAATGAAAGAAGATTTGAAGACCTACCTGCAGTTAAGATACTGAAGAACAAGATTTATAACCCTATCAGGCAAGTATTCACCAGTCCGAATAGCATTAAGCAAGCGTAGATGGCATTCAAGAATTTTTCCAGCATAATTCTTCTGAAACATTTGTGCAAAAACTTTATTTTCTGGATTCTGAAGCTTCATGTCCCCAAACCTGAACCAAACAATCATTTTTCCATTAACCACAAAAAAAAATCTAAGCAATATTGATGATAAAAGTTAAGTGCTAACCGTGTGTATAGACGATTCAAGATGTGAACTGTCCATTTTTTAACTTTCCACCATCCCCAAGATTTCCTGAGCTCAGGATCAGTTGGTTGACCTTCTAAAGGGACTGGTCTTTCTAAAATGTTCAAGAAATGCACCATCCAAGCATTGAAGACATTGGGATCATAAAGCTGTTTTGGTATCTCTAGCTGGGAAAAATATTCATAGCATGCAAAAGGGAATATCTCAAAACGACAGTATTTATCTATCAAAAAATTGAAAATATCCCAGCAATTAACATTAATATAGCATATATAGTAGGCAACTTACATATATTGATGACCAGAATATTTTGCAAATAAGCTTGATCAAGTCTGCTAATTCAATAGGAGGATTGGTGATCTGAATGAGTTTATGAAATATGTTGAGCAAGTGAGGAAATGTCTCTCCCACGATGTGATAGACTGGTAACCGCTCCTCATCAGATTTGAACCTTTTTGAAGGAATTGAAGTAACAAGAAAGAGTATAGATGAAGGCAAACTAAGTAATAATCATCTTTCTAGTAACTTAAAATATAATATTAGTGAATAATCGAAACATGAAATGAATAATGTGTGCATATTCACAAGTTAAACATTACACCAATGATAGTAATAGGCTAATAGCATAATGCAAATACTCAATTATCCACACATTTGTTATTTTGGAACAAGAAATGCCAGTTACTAATAAGTAAAGAAGGCAATAAAAAATTAAACCTTATTATTTTTCGAAGTTAAACATCTAAGAGGCATTTCCCACCACACGCATATGCATACATACATACAGGCATGCAAACATACACACATATAGACATGCATGCATACTGAAATACATTCACATATACATACATATTTACTTATGCACATAAGATGAAATCCCAAAATAGTGACCCCGACAATTCATATTTCTCTAATTTAGTCTCTCAATTATACAAACTTGATCTAAATGGTTCCTTCCATAAAAGTTGTGATACAAAATTGATCCCATTTTCGTCCCTAAGCAACCATTTCTTATCAATTTTGTAATGTCAAGAACTAAATTGAAGAAATGTGATATACTTGAACTAAATTAGCTACATATGCATAGTCAGGGGATTATTTTGGGAGTACATAAACATACATACATATACATACACAATATTTTATGTTGCCTTATCTCTTTTGATCATAGACATATAATTAAAAAATCAACTGTTTCGGCTTAGAAGTTAAAACTCACCATAAATAGTACTATGATGCCAAATGCCATTAAATTTAAAAAAGATTATAGCATGCATCAAGCATACAAAAGTAATAACCTAATTGAAGATCAAAATAGTAAGATGGGTGATTCACTAATTTCATGGTGTAGAGCATTCAAATCAAATTAAAACTTTTTGAACATTTATAAAAGTATATTCAAAAAATTTTAATTCGTTTGATTTCAAAAAAAATTATGTGAATATTTCATTTCAAATTTGATCAGCAATCAAACATTCATTAAAAATTATCAATTAAGTCATAATCTTTAATTGAAGGTGACAACATATAAAGCCTATGATGCACGGACACGGCGACACGGACACGACACGGCACGGACACGGAACACGGTTTTTTTTTTAAAATATGGGACACGGGTACGGCGCGGACACGGCAATACATTTTTTTACATAGTGTATATATATTAATGTAATATCATATTAAAAATGACAAATATAATAAATGAATGACATGATAACTTGTCTAGCTTATAATATAAAATATTTAGTACAAAATATCTAGTACAACCACAAAAATATAAGCAAATAATCACTTACTACAACCATCGATTAAAAAGGCATTCGAGGCTCGAATCGAGGCGGAGGTCGGGCGAACTGAGGCTTAAGCCTCGAATGTCCGGGCGAGGCTTACGCCTTTTTCCACGGAGGCGTACGCCTCAATACGTGAGGCGCCGAGGGGCATCGAAGCAGCGCCGAGGCGCATCGAGGCAGCGCCTCGAAAGGGAGAAAGTTACCTTCAAAGCCAACGAGCTCCCATTGTTTCTTCTTATCAAAATGTCGTAACTTATGATCCGACGGGAAGGGAAAGTCGTCGAAGGAGCGCAGTCGAACAGCCACAAAGGAGCCAAAGAAGCGACGCATGTAATCTCTACACCTCCTATGAAGCAACGAAGCCGAACAACAAGGACGAAAAGAGAAGATGAAAGGCAAACCCTAGACACAGCTAAGTTATTATTGATTAACTTAATTAATATAATTTAAATATTAATAATTAAGCAAATTAATTAAATACTTAATAGTATAATTAGTGCATAAATTAATTGACTAATTAGTAATATAACTATTAATTAAATATTAATATAATTAGCCTAGTTAATATAAATTAAAATATATATTATTAAATATATAATTAATAGTATTAATAATAATTATTGAGTAGCTTGTATCGCTCAGTACATGCTCGGTACCGAGCTAGTACCGCTCGGTACTGAGCAAGTATATGCTCGGTACTGAGCGGTACATGCTCGGTACCACTAGGTACACCCTCGATACCAAGCCAGTACCACTAGGTACATGTTCGATATTGCTCAATTCCGAGTGGCACATGCTCGGTACCAAGCGGCACATGCTCGGCACTGTTAATTACTTTATTTTTATCATTTTTAGGCTTACGCCTCGCCTCGCTTAGCCAAAACGCCTCGATTCCCGATTTCACCTTTTAAAACGTTCATCAAGCATTCAAGCTTCAACTATTAGGATTAGCTTTAAAAAATTATATCGCCAAATATAAGAAATTATATTTTTAAAAAATTATAAAATATTTAAGATACGTGTGTCCGACACGCGTGTCCAATTTGTTTTTAATATTTTTTTAATCGGACACGTTTTCGGCGTGTCCGACACGTTTCGGAGGAGTGTCGGACAAGTGTCGTGTCGGACACGGTGTCGAACACTGCACGCCTCTTTGAGGAGAAGTGTCGGTGCATCATAGTATAAAACTAATAACAAGGAGAATGGACTTTTTCAATGCACAAAAAATAATAGTATATATAGAAAGATTAAGGCCACTTACCCAAAATTTTATCACCTTTAATGAACATATGATAATAGATTACACCAATTTACAAGTGTAAAATGCCTTGTCGAAAAAAATCTTTTTGTATTCGGTATAAAACAAGATATATTGAAGGTATAAATGATGCATATAAATGTTCATAAGGTTTAATTTGATTAAAGCAGTCATATAACATAAAAATAATAATCCATAGTTCACTAGCTACACAATCTATTGAGATGCTAAATTAAATTAATGCTACATCAATGATAAATTTTGTGAATTTTTTGTCTCACTATTTCAGTACCATGGATTAAGATAAGAAGCCTTGAAATGATGGTTGGATGTTGCGTGTTTGAAAAGACAACTGAAAACTTGTGTAGAAATTTGAGTTTTCAAACAAAATGGTAGTAGTATATTAAATATTTGCAGGACACAGAGAGAGCAGCATTGCAAATTTAGCAAACATGGCCATGGAAATAAAATGATATATGCAGATTATGAGAAGAATTTAACTTACTCGTATTTCCTAGAAAGAATCCTCAAAACATACAGAGCTCCAAATACATGTTGGTCTTGCAACTGTAAGTTACACTTAATCCAGTGAAGAAGGTTTGGCCACTGTTCAGGGTAATCAGCGTGGATTATTGTTTTAAGACACTCACCAAGTTGTACTCTGTATTAAATTCAGTCACAGATATTTAATACCAGGAAACTGTTGGGAATGAAAAAGTTGAAAAAAAGCATATACTCAAAAAAAAAAAAAAATCAAGGTCATATAGCAGAAGATTGTAAAAATACAACAGACCATCCAAAATAGCTAGAATTTTCATAGCTTTAATTTCAGTAAGAAGAGTATCCAAATTATCATTCTACCTCAAAGGATTCCAAGATGATTTAGATAAATGCAACCTACTCATAACTTTCAGGCTTAAGGCACTAAAATCATACAATTGATACTGTAATTAATGTCAATATATAGATAAGAAGAGTACAATGATACAAAAACGTAGCATCACACAAGATCACGAGGAAACCCATATAATGAGTGGCTATCTGTGAGGCAAAAAATAATACATTAAGCAGCTTTTTCTTTTTCTTTTTCTTTATGGAGGGGGTTGCAAGGGAGGGCAATAAAAAGTGGAATGTCGAATTGGAAAAAAAAAAACTATGTAATGCACAAATTCATAGTAAAATCATAAGTATCAAAACAGTATTGAGCTATCTAAGGAAGAAACATTTCGGATGTACACAGCAAGAACTTGAAGAAATTGTACAACTAAATTGAGGTGTGTATGAATCACAAACATACCTCAGTAATTGAGGAACTTGAATAATGAAACCAAGGATATTCTCCCTAACAATACCTTTATCACTGGTTGAGATAATTTGGGGATCACCTGCATCATACAAATGAAATTTAAGCCTTTAAAATTTCATGTAATACAAAATTCTCTGATGCGCATAATCTAATTCCGGGTGCCTACCAGACTCATCAGGTGACCAGTTCTTAGCCACAAAGTTCTTGAAATGAATGCTTGCAACTTGGCGCACAGCCAAATCACAATTACCATCCACTATGATCTGCAACAACCTCACCAAATGCTGCGGTGTGTACTGAAACTGAAAAGCGAAACAGGAAAGTGACGGGTCTAAAGCATATGGAAACGAAATTTTATTCGCATCAGGTGGAGCTTAAACCCCCAGCTGAAGTTCATTCAATATTATTTGCCACAAAAATACACAAAGTACAATCATAATTTGACATAATTCAATAAAAACTGCAGCAAGCAGTCCTAACTAACAAAATAATAAATTCGTGTCTTGGTCTATAATAGAAATTCAAGTACAAATACGCCCAGCCAGCCTAATGATCCCTTTTTATTTCATAACAAAGGGAAGCACGGTGATACAACGGAATCAATAGATAGAGCTTACACGAACTATCTCCAATTGGATTATAGTGACAATGGAATCACACAAAAAGACGGCATAGATCTAGCTAATAAAAATAATGATTTTAGCGCGGTGATTGATCGTACAATCGCTGGAGATGACTAAAATGATAGGGAAAGGATCGGTGGATACCTGATTAAGGCTCTCCTCTGCTGCCTTCCGCTCGACTGGATTGGGGCTTAGTGCAGCCTGGAGAATAACGGCGAGGCTCGGGAGGTCCATGGCCGCCGATAATGGAAAAGGAGAACCCCTAGCTGGCGATCTGAATGGGGATTCGGGACCAAGAAGCAATCCTGGGGTTTCTTCTCTTTATTTTACTCGCGGGAGAGATGCGGAGTGGAGGGTTCGTTCAAGCTGTGCCCTGCTTCAGGAACGGAGGCAGAGAAGGAGAGAACCGGAGGGAGGCGGGTATTTAACCCTAGGGTTAGGTTATCTTTGGCTTGTGCACGCACAGGTTAAACTAGCTCTGGCCTGGCTGGACCGGGTCGTCTGGGCCGTTGCAAATGCGCGACCGGCTTTAGATCCGCTCGGCTTTTTTAACAGCTCACGGTAGCCAACGCACTAAATTCCTAATCTGTAGTGAATGAGGGTTGGCTGAGTGGGCACTCGTCATTTCTGAATTTATTATAAATTTGTATTATTACATATTAAATTAGAAATTATATTTTAAGATTACTATCAATCATTTATTTTTTCATGTTAGTTTATTTATGTAAATATCATATATTTTATTTAATAAAAATAAAAATTTCAAATTTATGAAAATTAATTAAAAAGCTTTCTAAACCCTCCATCTCTTAAATTATAAAAACTAGAGGTGTCAATTATTGATCTGATCCGAAAATTTCTGATTTGAGTTGACCCGTTTAGCAAATAGATTGGGTTCAAGATTTAATTATTGATCGTTTGAAAAAATCAAATTGCATTCGGTTTAACCTGAGTTGACATGAGTCTCGTCCGACCTCGCTAGTCCGCAGTCCAACTAGTCCATCAATATTTTATAATATCAAATACACACACATAAAATACGATATGCTATGTGATTAAAAGTAATAAATAAAAAAATTTATATGTCTTAAGTAAATAATAATGATCAGAAAGAATTAAAAAGACTTGATGTGTAATAATTGATTTAATTTTAATTTTGAAATAGTTAACTGAAATATATATTTAGTAATTAATTAATTTGGGAAAGTTTATTTTGTATGCTCCATAATATTTAAAATTAAAGAAATATTAATGCTATATTATTTATTGAAAAAATATACCTTCATTCGAACCAAAATACCCTCGAAATTTGAGGATATGCTTGAGTGTTATAATATAAGGGATGTCCTTCTCATTCTCAGCACCCGCATCTTCTCTGATTATTATCATTTGAGAGTAATGATTATGAGAAAATATTTTAAGGAAACTTTTATAACCCATTCTCTGACATGCCAACAATTGTCTTTGAAGATTAGTTATGTTGCTCATTTTGTAAACTCTTTATCTTCAATGATGTTATGTATTTGCACTTTGACCTCTAAGCCTCAATCGAAGTTAGACATAAGTCTGCCAGCTTCAAATATTGCTCAAAACTTATTCTAACCTTATTAAAATATATTTGGGTGATGATCAAACAATGTTCAAAACTTATTTGAAGCCTTTTCAATTTAAGAACAAGGGCTTCAACAATGGTAAAAAAGATTTGATTATGATTCAAAAATGTTTGGATCAAGGTCCGAAAAAGTTTCATTCAATGTTGATGTTCAAATAACTTTTACAATGTTGATCAAAATTCAATCAATATTATTCAATGAAAATTTGAGCAAAGTTTGAATTTGTTATCATGTTATGATTTATATATTTGAGTTTATTTTGTTATACATGTAGATATTTGTTCTAATCATACATGCAGAGAGACATCGCATGATCAGGTCACATATAGAGTCAGGCTTGCAATGCAGAAAATTATTGAATTTTTCACTCATCAATGAATATGCAACTGAAGATCAATACGAAGGCGAGCATTTTGATTATGTAATTTCTTTGCTTCTTATTCAAATAATATTGATTACTTCTTCAATTTTCAACTTAATGATTTGAACTCACAATTACAAACTAAAAATCCATATGCTATTATTTTATCAAAATATTTAAAATTCTGATCATGTTCAAGTGTATGTTTTATAAATTGATCAAATTTGAGCAATTTATAATGATATCGATGTGATCATATTTGAACACTTCAATAACGAAAATCTCATTAAGTAATCGAGACGTAATTCGACTATGATATATTATAGATGTATGTGATGTTCTGACTGTTATGATTGTACCCAACATATTAATGTGAAATATTTCAAATGTTTTCATTTAATGCAATACTTATTATTGCAATTTTATCCTATATTGTGTCATCTTATATTATATTATGTTATTGCTATTGTAATTATATTCTCATGTATTATATTATGTTTTATAACAAGCTCCCATGTCAGAATATTATATGAACCTTATTTGATCTTACAAATAAACTATTTTACAAAATTTTCAAACAATGCCTTACAAAAATTTTCAAACTATTATCTTTAAACATTCATTGATCATGTCAAAGTATCTTAAAATACATAATAATTAGAATAGGTGATTATACTGATAAGAATGAAAGAATTATAAATAGTAAAAAAGCAATATGTAATTTAATTATAATTTTAAGGTATCAATTCAAAAATATATATTTAATAATTAATTTATTCGAGAAATTTAACTTTATATACCCCATAATATCTAAAATTAGTGAAATATACAAGTTGGCTTATTTCTTAAGGAAATTTGCCATAAAGTTTCATTCAGATCAAAAAAAAATTCAAAATTTGAATTATATAAGTGGTTTTTTATTGTTCCTTTTCTCAGCATTAGTCTTCTCTGAAAAGTCAGATTTGCGAGTAATACTTATGAGACAAAGTTTCAATGAACTGTCTCCATCTCTGCCTCCAGTTAGCCGACGATTACCTTTAAATATTAGTGATGTCATACATCTGGTAAAGTTTCCGCCTTCCATGATGTTATATGTTTGCACTCTGAAAAATAAAACCATAAAGATTTTAGACGTAAGATTACCAACTTCGAACATTTCTTAAAACTTAGTTTAACTTTGATCAAAATATGCTTAACTTATGATTGAACAGTGTTTTCAAAGATTTTTTTTGTTTCTAATTGAGGTGTAAACAATATTTGAAAAAGCTTCGATCATTATTAAAAAAAATTGATTGATCAGTGTAAAAAAAATTTCAATCAATGTTCGAACATTCTCCAACAACTTCTAGCAACATTGATCAAAATTCAATTTTTATTTGATAAAAATTTAAGGAAACTTTAAATTATTTGTTATGCACTCCCTCTTTTGAGATTTGACTTATTTGGCTTATCTTACTATGCACGTGGATTTCTGCTATAATTATACTTACTAAGAGGGAACAATTATTAGGTCCGGTGACCGGACGTAGCTCTACGTTGGTCACCACTGAGATCGCGTCACGTGCTCTTACTCTTTACCGCGCGGCCCGACGACTTGACTCGGACCGGAACCCGGGAATGCTATGTTCGCGTATTGCTAGGTATTACTCGGTATTTGCTCGGTATTGTTCGGTATTGTTTTGCAATAACGAGAAATACCGCTCTGTGAAGACCAATACCGAGTAATAACGAGTTTTTCTAAAAAAACTCGGCATTGCTCGGTATTGCTCGGTATTTGTCTTCACATAATGATATTTCTCGTTATTGCCGAGCAAATCGACAAATACCTAGCCATACCGAGCAATACCTAGCAATATCGGGTTGTCATGGATTTAAAAAACGCATTTGCGACATACCCACTATTCACCGGGTCGGGTCCGCGGTTTTGTGCCTGCTACGTGGCGCGATTTCAATGCCGGCCGAACGTAGCTCTACGTCCGTTCACCAGACCAAATAAAAGTTCCATAAGAGGAGTGTGTTTTGGATATTGTGGTCTTATTCATTTGTATCAAATTTTTTGTCTATTTTGTATTAATTGTTATCATTGTATACAATGTATTACTACAAAATATGATAAATGTTTTTATTTAATATAATGCTTCTTATTAAATTTTTGTCCTTTGTTTTATCTGCCTTATAATTTGTTGTATTATAACTATTATCATACTTTACTATTTGACTAGCTTGGATCATATATTTGAGCATTGTACAAACCTTATTTGATCCTATAAATAAATTATGTTATAAAATTTTCAAACAATATTTTATAAGAACTTTATTCAAATAGATTCAAACATTTATTGGAATATATCTTTGACCTTTCATTGATCATATCTAAATATCTTCAAAATAGATATATTTTTCCCACTTAAGACATTGTAGGGCATGTAAAATCAAATTTCATGTTTGTTCAAAGCATATCCTATTTATTTCTTTGGCAAAAAATCAAATTTATAGCTATGTGAATTGATTGTATGCATTTTATATTTTTATATCTATTTAAATTACATAATTGTTATATCATTTATTTATTTTTTTATGATACATACATGCATATAATATAATGTCACATTTAATATATGTCATATCTTATATTTTTAATAATAGATATATCACATATACATCATTGAAAAATATCTTGATTGGACACAAATCTCGATGCATACAACAACAACATCAAGCTTTTATCCCACTACTTGGGACATATCTCGATGCACATTTGAATTGAAAATTTACAAAATTAATTAATTTCATGGTCGCGTAAACTCTGATTTCAATAAACTTCCAAACTGAATAGATCAATGAGACGAACCCAAGGATATTAAAAATGGTCCCATCCAATCCAAATGAACCCAAATCAAGCACTTTAAGCTGACGTGAGGCAGAGCTCGGGAAGGAGAGAGATTGAAACAGAGTGGAATATTATTTCTTGTATTAAATCAGTAGGTATACATGAGTTTATATAGATGTAGGCAAGCTAGACAGCCACTAGGAAGAGGCCACGTGTGGTGATTACAAGAATGCTAATTACACAGATTTAATATATGGTATTACTTCACAGCCCCCCTCAAGCTGTTGCTTCGGAGGAAGAAACGAGCTTGTCCGTGAGCCATTGAAATCTGGGTGCTGGAATAGCTTTTGTAAACAAATCTACGAGCTGATCTTTAGTGGATATGTGATGAACTTGTAGATGGTGATCCTTGATATGCTTGGTACGCGCGTGAATTAATGCTCTAACAAATAACCTCTTCAAATCATCCTACCATCATCAATTAATGCTCTAACAAATAACCTCGGATATGTTAAGCATCCTTGGCTTCCCTTGACCTCTTCCATACAGGTTAACACCATCAAGTAATGCTTTGGAAAATAACCTCAGACAGGTCCAACATCTTTAATGGATTTATCTCGATCTATTTCACATAGGTTAATGTCATCAAATAATGCTCTGACAAATAATCTCAAATAGTTTAAACATCATTATCAGATTCCCTTGACCTCTTTCATATAGGTTAACATCATTAGGCAATGCTTTAACAAATAACATCAGATGGGTCAAACAATCTTGATGAATTCACCTAAACTTCTTCCACATAAGTTAACATCATCAAACAATGCTCGCACAAATAATCCTGAAAATCTTAAATATTCTGGAAGGATTCTCTCTACCTCTTCCTTAAAGGTTAATGTCATCGAGAAATAATCTAACAAAAAACATCGAATAAGTCAGACGTCTTTGATGGATTTCTCTCAATATCTTTCATACATGTTAACATCATCAAGTAATACTCTGACAGTCGATCTCAAATAGGACATATTTTTAGTGAATTTATCTCAATCTCGTCCATACAGGTTAACATTATCAATCAATGATATGACAAATAATATTGGATAGATCAAACATATTTGTTTGATTTCTCCTGATTACTCTCATGCAATTTAATGTTATCAATCAATTCTCTAGCAAACAACATTGGACATAACAACATTCTTAGTGAATTTTCTCTGCCGCTTCCATAAATGTTAATGTCATCAAGAAACACTCTAAAAAATAACCATGGAAGAGTAAAACATCTTTGATTTATTTCTCCCAACCTCTACCACAAAGCTTAACAATATTGAGTAACGCTATGACAAACAATCTCTGATATGTCAAACAGCTACATTGAATTTATTTCGACTGCTTAGCAGCATCAAGCAATACTTTGGTAAGCAAGTTTGGATAGGTCAAACATTCTTAATAGATTTCTTTTGATCTCTTCTATATAACACTTTGAAGCATCCATCTTCAACCCCTTTTTCAAGGAAAGATTAAAGCCTTTACTCAATTGGTATCATTACTGTATCGATATCATTAATATATAGTTACATTATGCAGCAACTAATTTCTAAAATTATATTACTTGTCATATTTAAAATAAAATAAAAAAAAGAATAATAGTGCACATAATATGATAGCTTTAAATTTTATTTTAATTAAAATTTCATGCCACATGACAATCATCTAATGTACCAATTGTCATCTCTTAATCACATAGACCAATTTAGTATTATAAAAATATATCATATTTCTAATCAATATTTAATGAATCGGTCAAATTTCAAGCCAAGCATCTTTGTATAAAAATAAATTTATTTTAATTTGAATTCAATTAAATTTATAATAAGCAATCCAAATTCCTAAGCTAATTTACACGTATATGATAGGTCAATATTTTGAAGCTTCCTATGAAGTGTGGTCAAATTGCAGGCCTGAGAGGACACGTTCGTCATTTCTTTAAAAGTTGGGGGCATTTAGAAACTGCCTCTGCTTTCCTTATTTAAAGTCGCACGCTTACGTGCAGAAAAGAAGGCAGAAAAGAGGAAGAAAACGGAGCAGAGAGAGAGAGAGAGAGATGGAATTTGGAGATGGTGAGTTTGGATCCTCTTCTTCTTTTTTTTCATCAGTAAACTTCTGTAGAATATGCCTTGAAGAAGAGGATGAGAAGTCCTCAAGCATGGAAACTCCCTGTTCCTGCTCTGGGACTCTCAAGGTAACTAGCATAGACGAAGAGGAAGAAACCCTTTGTTCTTTCAATTGATTAATCAAATTGCTGTACTTTCTATAAAGAAGATTAAGTTCTCTTTAGTATTTTTCCTTAGTTGAGTTTCTTCTTTTTCAGTTTGCTCACAGAAGATGTATACAGAGGTGGTGCGACGAGAAAGGAAATAACGTCTGCGAGATTTGTCTCCAGGTTTGAATCCATATGTATTTAAATTTGAATTCCACGCGCGAAAATTTTCACTGAACTGAATTTTGAATTCTTCAACTGATTTTTCTTGCTGGCAAATTTTCAGCATTTCATCTTTTTGGGATGGAACTTTGTTGGATTTGAGACTTGGCTTGCTGTTCTATTTTTATGCTCTTTGGTCTATTGGATAATATCTTGTTTATATTCTGTCCTTTTTTTCAAATAATTTAAAACGTTATTTTTTTTTTAAATAATGGACATAACAAAGTTTTGTTTTGGAAGTTATATGTGATTTATGATGGTTTCTCAACTGATATTTTGCTTCAAACTTGGCTTCCTCTCTTTCGGAAGTTTGCAAGGCTGAGTTGCTTCAAAGCTTAGAACTTTGACATAGTCATTTACTCGCTTCTTAAGCAACAACCATAGGCATTAATATATATATATATATAGAGAGAGAGAGAGAGAGATCAGTACTAAAGTACATATGTTTGTAAATTTAGATAAAATTAATATGCTCAAATTCGGGAGAAATTATTACGTGCGGAGTCCGGACGTAACTCACATCCAGACTCTAACAAAATGAAGCCACATGGTTTGCACACATCCTGTGTACAACTTGTACATAGGGTGTATATAAAGAAAAATTATACACACCCTGTGTACAAATCAGGTGACTTCATTTAATTGGTGGACGAAAAGCTACGTCTGAACTCTGTACATAATAATTTCTCCAAATTCGGACCGATAGGAAGAGAAAAACTCTATGACCATCAGTGTTATATTTTAAAAAGTCATTGCTATTTTCACTTAATTTATTCTTATTTCATCAATTTTGCAGAAATTTGAGCCTGGCTATGTTGCAACCCTTCCTCCCCCTACTAAGCCCCATTTAGTGGATGTTGTCGTCAGCATAAGGTAATTTTTCTATTATCTGTGCTGTGATTTTCTATATGAAGGATGCTCTCTCTCCTCTCTCATTCACTTTAATTTGAATTACTTTCTTCTCTTTCTCTCTCAACTTTTAATTTGAATTATATTCTTTTTCTCTCTCTACACTTCAGTTTCAATTATTTCCCAAAAATAATGTCCATATCTTCTGTGTCAATTAAATATTTTTTACACCCATTGCTTTCAATCTAGTATTAGTTATATGCTTAAGTAGAAAACCTACTGGAATGGGCACATACCCTAAAGTGGTAGAAGGCTAGATTCCTTGCTTTTTCTTTTTAAGCTCACTTCCACGCCTGCAAAAGTAGCAACAAAAGAATTCACATCAAATGATACTAATAAAGATTGAAAAAATGTCAGAAGAAGCTTGGAGGCGACAAGGCACAACCACCATGAGCCTGAGAGCCATACTGTACTGTTTATCAGAAGCAGCGAAGCTGAAAGAGAATACATTGTGTCATCAGAAGCATACAATCGTAGTGTGACATTGTGCAGATTAATAGTTTTGATGGTGAGTGATTTCTCATATTAAAATTAATATATTTTGATTTTGGAACTAAATAATATAACCTCTTTTTACAGTTTACAATCAGTCTTTTAGTCAGACAAGTCTTTGTTCTGCAATTTGAGAATGCTGAAGACTATGCATTCAATCTAGCAACAGTGAGTATTGTGTATTTTGTTTTCTAACGGAGATTTTGTTTGAGATGGCTTTTTTATTGCTTTTTAAAACAGTTTTATAGTAAAAAAAATTTATTTGTTATACTAAAAGTCAGCTTTAAAAAGCAGTAAGAAAACCGTCCCAAACGAAATCAGAATCTATCAACTAATTTTAAAACTTGAGATCTTATTGTAGGTATTTATTCTGCGATCAGTGGGTATTTTGTTGCCTTTCGGCTTGCTAATGCGTCTGATCACTGTCATCCAGAATGCACAAAAACTTCAGTTTCATGTAAATTTCTTCTCCTAAATTCTGTGAATTTTCTATAGTAAATATTGGCTTCATCCTTACATTTGTTGATTCCATCATCATTCTTATCTCCCAATTTACAATTTGTTATTATTATTAGCAGGACAATGAGGTCTTACAAATCCAGGAAGTGGAAAATGATCTGGAGCAGCAGTAGGAAGGACTTGGATAAAGCTCTTGATAACAAGCCAAACACGTTTACAAAAACATATACACTAGGTAGAAAAAAATAGGGGGAAAATGACCATGATTAAACAATAGAAAAGCTTCACTTTTTTGTTTCTGTCCTTGAACCATTGAGGGCCAAGCCTGGGAGTAAAGTCTCACTGTCCCTGGAAACAAGAAAACCTGAAGAATTGGTTGTTCATTGTAATTTGAAGAATTTCATTATGATTGATTCAAATGCCTACAGTATTAAATCACTTGTTTATCTAACAACTGGAGCTTTTGCTTGATATGTCTTTGCAAAGATGACTGATTTTGAATTAAAGAATCTTTCAAAAGATATCACTGTCATCCAAGCACAAAGCTTAGAATGATCCTTGCACTTAACTTGGATCCAAAGCTACTTACAAAGAAAGAAGAGGGTAAGCAGGCCTAGGAGGGGCAAGCGGAGACTCGAGGAGAGGCAAGCAAAAAAACTTGAAATAAAAGCATTCATTATTCTTAAAGATAAATAAAGGTACAAATAAAAGGAAAATGCATAAATAGCTGAATAAAAGGTAAATATATAATGTCATGATGATGTCCATTACTTATGATTACAACAAATAAAATCTAACACAAAAATTCCAAATAATGCAACTAAATTATTTCTTTGCCATGCTAGATTTACTAAATGGTGTTAAATTGATTGTTATGTTACCCAAAGGAGGGAGAAGCTAACCCATGAAGAGTTAGAAAGGCGGTACTAATTAACTGTAAGATGTACGATGAAGCGATTGATTCTTGTATCATTTAACAAAGAACAATCTCCCCAACAAATAAGGTATTGTCGGGACCATGACAAAGCCAAAATAACCTTAGGCAAGCTTGTACAAACATGTTATAGCATAATTTTGGGGCTCAAAAGTTCCCCAATATAGCAAAAAATCTTCAATATTAAAAATAAGGCTAATCACCTATCAAACATCAAATTTTAAAAAAAAAAATTTATTTGAACTACCTTCCTAATAATTTGATAAGGATCATATGCCCTTGTTACTCCCATGAGCCTATGAAACTTAATAACTTACTTTGATTATACTAATTAATATTTATGAATGAGTATAAAATCACTAGAGACAACAACCAAGGATGTAAAAAATGGACAATCATTTACAAGGGATTGAGGAAAGATAGGCATTGTTTTTCCATTTTTGACAAATGTTAAAAACTCAGTAAAATATGAATATTGTCTAACACTATAATATATATATATATATATATATATAATTTTATTTTTGAAATTGAAGAATTGGCTAAATTGTATATACAATCCAAGAGATGATATATTTGTACATATGATGAGTAATCATACATAAGATCATGATTACTATGGTTGTTGGAATTCAAAAACTACCAATTGGAAAAATAATTGGTGCAAAAATTTGTAGCAGCCTCATGTAGATTTCCTACTCGTCAAAATCACCTTGTTGAAATGATACTAGTAGATGCAATCAATATCTTGAATGAGCTGTAATAGGTATAACTCTATATAAAAAATAATTTGCCAAAATATTTTTGAGCTAATTTTACATACGATATATTTATGCAAATTATAAAATAAAAAACTGTAGAAAATTTTCCTTTGCAACTATTAGTGGCTACATGGTATTTTGGCATTCATTTGGCAACTAAAAACCTATAAATACTCGCTAATTTCAAGGGGAAAACACAATAATTCATCAAATATTTCTATACATGCAATTTGTGAAGGAAAGAGTAATGGAATTCTTGTGCAGGAGATCAAACCACTATATCAATATGCATTCTCTATTTACTTTAATTCTTGCATTTTTACTTATTTACAACTTAAATAATTGTTTTATTTTCATTCCTCAATAACCACACACTTAACTCTTGGAATTTCATGGTTTGAAGAACATCTTCAAAACCTGCATCCATTTCAAGTTCTGGAAGGCTTGGATGTCAATATTTGGCAATCCCTTAAAATGAAAAAAGAAAAGTTTGGTAGAAACAAGATTAAAAAAAACCCACCAAGATTGTCGAAAGAATAGCAATTGATATGCCACTTAGTGAATGGACGCCTGATGAGATAAATCTCGATCAATTGAATGCAAAATCCATTGCTTTTTTTCTCTTCATTTGTGCACTTAAATTCAACAATTATCTATAAGTGTCTCTGCTCAAAACTTGCAAGGAGATATGGATTAGTTTGTTTGTCACATATGAAAGAGATAATAAAGTTCTCCAATTCATATTGACATGCTAGTTCATAAATATTAAATATTCTACATGAGACCTGAAAGTCAATATCAAAAATGTAAAATAGGTTTACTACAAACATAACTGATTGAAAATCTATTAGTAAAGCGTACTCCAACCAAGAGAAAGCAAGGAAGGCTCTTATGAGCCTTGCTAAAGCCACCGTAATCACGAAAGCCCAAGATATCTCTACTTGTTTACTCGATCTTCTACTTGTCGTCACTTACGAATATAATTTGGACAAGAGAAATAAAGATAAGAACAAAAGAATGCAAAGGCTCTAGCACTCAAACCTCCAGAGTCCAAAGAAATTGAGAAAGAAGAAAATTTTAAGTGATGAGGAAATAAAACCAATGATAAAAAGATTCAAATCTTATCTCGAGAACAAAAAAAAAATGGAAGTGGCAAGATGAGAAGAAGCCATCATATGATAGAGGTAAGTCTAGTTCCTGTTAAAACTGAGAATTTGAGAGGGAAAAGCTTGAAATTATTCATTACAATATTCCCTATTTATAGATCTATACAAGATATCCTAATGAGGAGATAATGAATTGCAGAATTAATACATAAATAATACATAAAAAATCTTTCCTAAATTCGTCCCCTAATTATGGCGTGATCCATGAGAGTATCCCACGGATTGATCTTTGTGTCCGTCGGATCCTTTGCACTGGGAACGGCTGGATTTCGACAGCTGGATTTCAACAGTTCCAATATTGATAAAGAGAAGGATAATATTATTTGTTATGATTGCAAAAAGTTAGGAAGCTTATAATAGGATTGTGCAAAACTTGAAGAAGATAAGAAGTAGAGAAGAAAGATAACAAAGAAGACTCAAAATATTATTTGGGTCAACTCAAATTCAAAGTCAACTTCAAGTCAATTAGAAAATGAAAAGCGTAATGTATGCTTCAAAGCCAAAGACGGTATTGAAGAAGTCCTAAAAAAGGATATGCAATAATGAATTTATTTATTAATAATTGGAAAATATGCTAGAAGAAATGAACGATAGTTTTACAAAACTAAAAAAAATCAATTTACAGGAGTATGCTAGTTTACAAATTAGAAGAATGTTTTGTAATGCAAGTTTTGACTTTGATGCTATACACGAAAAAAATGATATGAAAGTTGGGGAATATTTGAAATTCGAAAGAGAATAAGCTATTTTAAAAGCTATAATGAATTTCTAAAATTCACAAGCAAAATCTTCATACAAGACATGGGATCTTAAACCATTGCACAAACAAGAAAACTTCATTTTAAATAGCAAGTCAATGTTCAATGTTATTATTGTTACAAATTTGGATATATATTTCCTATGTGCAATTTGAGAAAATATCATGAGTAAGGATTTATTTGGTTACCAAAACACACACCTACAAGCTACAAAGCATGCACATTTTATTAATGTAAAAGGATCCAACTTATTGTAGAATCTTAAATAAAATAAGCATGTAATTTTTCTTTACAGGTATTCCTTCACAATAAAACTAATTGATGCGTGTGATACCTAAATAGTGATTGCTCAAATCATGACATAAAATTTAATCATATTAATAATGTTAGCACCGAGAGTTGTAAGAAGAATAATGTTTCAGAATAATAAATAAATAAATTATTGGTTTAAGTAATGTCATTAAATTTTCATTTTCTATTGAAAAGACCCTAATAGCAGAAAGTTTAACGCATAATCTATTAAGAATTAGCCTACTTTATAACAAAGGTTTTAACATTATATTTTGTCTTCAAAATGTCTTTTAAAGTTTAATGATAAGGGTTATTTTAGAAGGCTTTAGACATGAGAATATTTATTTTCTTGAGTTTTGACATTGATAGTTTGTATAGTAATGGTATGTAATTGAAAAGCACTTGAAGTGATTCTTTGTTTTTTGGTTGACGGTGATCTAGAAAGATTTGAAAAGCTTAAAATTAAAGAGAATAAAAATGACTAATAATTTACCTAAGGATTGGAAGTATTGTAACAGTCACCCTAATGAATAAATTTTTGGAGATCTATCACAAGGTATTATGTCAAGAAACCTTCTTAGAAGTGAAATGAATCACACCACCTTTATATCAGAAGTAGAACCTAAAGATGTTATAGAAGCTTTTTAGGATGAATATTGGATGATTGCTAGGCAATATGAACTCAATCGATTTGTTAAAATGGTGTATAAGAAATGATTGTTAGACCAAAAAATCAATGTGTTGTTGGAACTAAATGGGTTTTCAGAAATAAATTAAATTATCAAGATTTATTTCTAAGAATAAGATGGAATTAGTAGCTCAGGGGTTTAGCTAAATAACATAAATAGACTTTAATAAGACACCTTTGCCTCAATAACTAGGTTGGGAACCATTATAATTCTCCTAACATATGGATGTTTGAAGTATTTTTCTCAATGTCATAATTAAGTAAGACATGTTCATAGAATAGCCCCTAGATTCATGGTCCTTGATCATCTTAATCACATCTATAAACTAATGAAGGCACTATATTGGCTCAAACAAGCACACAGAGTATGAATTTAATGCCTTGGTATGTCTTCCTTAAACCATGAATATATGAAGGGGAGAGTAGACGCCACTTTACTCTTTAGAAGAACCTATAAAGACTTCCTTGTCATCAAAATCTATGTGAATGACATTATCCTTGGTGTATTTGATGAATTTTAGGGCAATGAATCCTACAAATACATGATCAATGAATTTGAGATGAGAAAAATAAGCAAACTCAGCTTCTTAGGGCTTTAAGTGAAGCAAGAGAAGAATGACACCTTTCTTAATCAAACTAGGTATACTAAAGAACTCCTCAAGAAGCTTGACAAGGAGAGATTCAAGTCCATAGGAACCCCCATGAACCTCTTTAGCAAACTAGCGAAGGATTCCTACTGGAAAAATCCTAAATGTTTAACTAAATCAAAAGCATGATAAATTCATTATTATACCTTACTACAACCAAACCCAACATCATGTTTAGTATTTGCATGTGTGCAAGCTTTTACACAAAATCTAAATAATCATATCTTCTCACATTAAAACACATTTTTAAATATATTCTTAGTACATTTAATCTTGGAATTTATTATCCTTGGAATTTATTATGCCTAATCTTGGAATTTATTATCCTTGGAATGATGAAATATATTGCAACAAAAAGTTATGTTGCACAAGTACTTAGTTTATGCAATAACTACTATATTATGGAATGCACTTAGAACACATCCACATCAAATGAGATAATATAAGCATAATATACTTATAAAAATCCTATACATGACTCACATACTAAACACAAAGATTAGGCATCATTCATTAGGGGTCATGCAACTTGAGATGCAATAGATATTAAATTTATTAGCACTAATAATCAACTAGAAATTATTTTCACGAAACTATCAACAAATGTTACATTTTGTACAACTAGAAACACACGATCCATGCTTAAAATATCATGATTATTTATTCTTAATTTTTTTTTTTTGTCATACATATGATCCTTCCTCATACATACAAGCTATCTCTTGGGTCAAGGGCACATATGATAGTCCAAACAATTAAATTCCTGGATCATGCCTTTCATCCTTATCATATGTATTATAATTCATTATCTATGGTGGAAGGGGAAAGAGTAATCTAAGTGCACGAATTGTATCATAAAAACAATCGGTCACTAAAATAATCATATTTCAATTATCATCAATCAATAGCAATTAGTTACAAATTAAGGATCGCAATTTATAAAAATAGGCAACAAAAATAAGACTGATTGCTTCAAGGAAAATATGATCATATATAATCATAACAAGCATTCAAATTAAATATATATTTTTATCCAAGTAAATAATAAAAAAAAAAACTAATAAGAAAATATAAATTTAAAAAAAATGAGAAATTCAATCCCAAATGGAAACAATCCTAAAATGGCTTGAAAATGATAGTTCAAACCTATTGAGACCTAGTTTATTTTTATAATTAGCCTATAACATTTGGACTTTTGTGAACATATCTAGCCCATTTAAAGGCTAACACTACATCACCTACCCCAAGGTTTAAAGAACTCTCTTAGAGAGTTAAGATATAAGTAGTCATCCAAGAGTTTAGAGGCTAGCTTTTACATTTCCTCCTTGGTTACCAAAGTATCATTTGAATAAGATTTGCTTTTCAACCTAATTGAAAATTTGTGATCAACACTTTTTTTCAAGTGTCACTTCATTGAAAATGATATTTTCAATATTCTAAATGGTGAGACGAAATTAGAATGATGAGATATGTTAAAACAATAGTTGTGCTAGAAATCCCTCCCTTAAAAGAATCAACAAATAATTTCTATATTCAAATATTTCTCATGATACAATATATCTTCAATATTGAAAATACTGTTAATAAATATATTAAGAGACAAATAAAAAAATAGGTAGTGGAACTGATTTCCTACGAATTTTGAAATGCTGTTTCTTATATTTCATTTATGCAAAGAATTCAAGATGTATATGAATCATGACAAAGTGACCATCATAATACTCAGGCAATTTTTTTAACATTTACAAAGTCAGAATAATTTTTATGCAATTTAATTTATTTTCTAATCTCATCATGTAAATAATATATTTGATGATGATAGCAAAATCAAAATTGCATGCAATGGTCAAAGGGAAAAATCATTAATTATGTTTTGCTCGTCGATTTACATATAATGTTATTTTATGCAAATTCATTAGTAGAAGATGTGTATCTCAATTAACCAAGCTTTTCCAACTAAACATATTAATAGATTCCAAGATTTCTACTTACTATAATGTCTTGACCATTTGTTTGGGGTTGGGGGGGAGCTGATAAAAACCTAAGGGTGATATCTAATAATTTTATAAGGTATTACATAAATAAGAATCAAATATAACATCTCTATAAAAAAAAAACTATAATCTTTGAAAGCTTATGTAAATTTACTATTTCTGTATAGAAAGTGTTGCTACATAAGATTCATTTGTAGACTTGTAGTCTTAGTGCATCAAATAAAGTGTGTCATCTTAGAAAAAATACTACCACCAGTATATTATTATAGTCACGAAAAGTACAAGATAATCCTAGCACAAAATTCACAACATACACCCTAGAAGTCAACGGAAGAAAAAAACAAAAGTATACATAACATGCTCAATAATTTTACCCATTTAGTATGTACACAAATAACTACCAATCATAACAATATTCTTTCTTAATGAAGGCTAATAAAGTTAATATTCAATAAAATGTATAATTTTATCTAAACCAACATGGTGTAAAATGCCACCAGAATTTATTGCCTATCTTGAAGAGAGGTCTACCAACTTTATAATGATGTCCAACTCAAATAATATAAGAAACAAACGACAAATATGACATCCTTCTGAATGTGAAAATTTAAGTGAAAGTTAAGACAAATTACATACTCTCTTATATTCTATCACAAACATGCATGTTAATGTAGATGTAAGTTAAAGAGAAAACAACCCCATAATAATGCATTTGTTGATTAATTGTGAATGCCAATTGTCTTGTTCAAGATAAATATGTAATCTTGAAGGTGTCTAATATATTGGTTTATTGTGAACACAAGTTGTCTTTTTTTCAAATCATGTAAGTAGCAGAACAGAAATAATAACATATCCTTGTGATAATGAGAATCAAATGACAGTCGAAACGAGTTATATGCACGTCTTGTATTCTATCACAATCATGCACATTAATATACACAGAAGTTATGCATAAAGAAACTTATAAGGTTATAATAATGCAATCGTTGGTTTATCGATAATAACAGTTGAATTTTTCAAGATAAAGGTGTAATCTTCAAGCATTCAATCTACTTGACATATATATTACTCTATCTTTTGAATATTAATATATTTCAAGGTCTGATGATCAAAAATAACTTTGGAAGCAAGCAATGTTGCCCATATTTAAAAACATGAGTGAGAGCATAAAATTTTCTATCTCAAATATAGTACCTTTGGGCTTTGTTTAACATCATTCAACTTCTCACTCAAGTAAATTCAAGCTGGTTTTTTGTGGGACTTGATTTTGAGGGCTTTAGGTGTTTATTTCAAGTAGCTTTATTTCCCTCACACATACTCGTAAAGAATAAGACATTCAAGTTCTTGTTCTGTCACTTTAGCTAATAAAATGAAAAGGGAAGAAGCCAAGGCTGCTCTCACTCAAACAGATTGCTTTTATTCTTCTTCTTCTTTTTTTCTCAATTTCTACATCTATCATTCTCTCTCAAGCTTTCTTCTCAATTTACCTTGCTCAAATTATTTCTCTCTCGCTTTGATTTTCGATGTCAATAGAATTGAAATATTCACGCACCTCTATAAGTGACTCCTTCCTTTGGAGTCTCACTTCTGATGAATTAAGATATTATTATTATTATTTACTTTCCTTAGCCTCCTTCCTCTCCAAGATTCTAGTTATCAAAATAGAAAGCCAAGCCTTCCCAAATGGCCCCATAAACTGGGCTCTTACTCACTATGGTTACCATTTCACTATGGTGCTAATGATTGAGGTTACTCACCATGATAACTACAATGTGATAGCTGCATATGATAGCTAAGCTACTATGGCTAGTCTATAGTTGTTTTTCCTACAGTTGCTAAGATGCAGTTTAAGGAATCATTCCACTAAGAGAGATCGGGAAAATATCTTTGGCTTATATTTACCTCACGCCTGAGCCTTCAGTAGACTATAAAGCACATCTGGGTTAACTCTTCAAGCAGACTCATATCAATTGTGGGACAGTATAAAATGCATTGCCCTTGCTAAAAATACAAACTTTCAACTAACAGAATGATTGCAATTGTGAGAAGAAAGATGATTTGGCAATAATATAAACCCAAACACGGCTCAAATGCTGATTAGCATCTAAAGCATAATAAAAGAATAGATTTTCAAAGTATGCATATCTAAAATACCTTTGAAACTACATTACAATAAATACAGAATGTCAGCAGGGGCAATGAGGCATTCAAATATCTTAAGGAATGACTGCAAAATAACTCAGAAAAGCCTCCGCCCAGATTGATTAGGTCCTCTCCTTTTAACTCTCTTCTTCATTCTCTCAGACCAATGGTTTAATATGTTTGATGCATCGAACTTCCCTGTGAAACTCATCTTTTGCGCAAGCTCGCTTAGCACATCAGGTCTCCCAGACCTAGAGAAATCGGCGGCCAACTTATTATAGTCCACCTGGGGTACACTCATCCCCTTGTTAATCATCTCCTCTATGTACTTATATGCCTCTTCAGGCCTTCCATGGCGTATATGTCCGCCAATAAATACTGTAAAAGAATTGACATCAGGACAAATCCCCTTGCCCAACATTTCCTCCCAAACTGCAGAACCCATCTTGTAATTATTCCCATGGAAGTAAGACTTCATCAACATATTGTAAGTGTGAAGTGTAGGCTCAAACCCATTTTTTATCATCTTCTTGTATATTCTTACAGCATCATCTGGCATGTTCCGATTGGTCATCAGCTTTATCAGAGCATTATAAGTTCGAGCATCTGGCGGGCATCCCTTCTGACTCATCTCTGCAAGCAAGCTTGAAACTTTATCCATCTGCCGAGCATTTCCAAACCCAACTATTAAGCATGTGTAGGTCGCAACATCTGGTGAGCAACAGGCAGCCAGCATTTCATCAAAGCAACTAACAGCTTGTTCCATTTTTCCAGCCTTACAGAGATGCTGAATTAAAATAGTATAAGTTCGGGTATTTGGCCTAGGGCCTTTTGCCTTCATGAGCTCGAACAGCTTGATCCCCTCGGACCTCCGGTTCCCTCGAATCAAGCCTTCAAGCATTGTATTGTGGGCGACAATGTCAGGCTTGAATCCGCTATCAAGTATCTCATTCCATACCCTCCCAGCTTCGACCAAGTTTTTAATCTTACAGAAACCATAAAGAAGCGCAGTATAAGTGCGAAGATCAGGGTGATACTGATCCTTCATTTTTTGTAACAGTTGATGTGCTTCTTTCCCGAGCTTGGCTTTTGAAAGAGCATCAATCAAGCAGTTGAAAGTATCCAATCCGACATGGAAATCATACTTCTTTATCAATTTGAAGATGCCTATACACTTCTTCATCTCGCGGGCTGCAGCAAAGGCCTTAACGGAGATCTTGAAGGCGTCCATGGAGAGAAGGCCTTCCTTCCCCATCTCTTGGAGGAGGACTACCATGGTCTCGAACTGCCGAGTCTTGCCGAGGATGCCGAGCATCTTGTTGCACGTAGTTGAGTCGTGCAAGAAGCCCGGCCTGGCTGCAGCCCACCGGAAGAAGCGATAAGCCGGACGATGGGCATGGCGGAAGCGGTCCAGAACAGCGACAACGAAGGAGGTATCGATATGGACATCGAGCTCGTCGAGTACCGCCTCCATGTTGCGATCGGAGGAGAAAAGCTCGTCAATCAACTTGCAAATCCTATCCAAATCATTGGAGTTTGGCGGAAGCAGCGGCGGCAACGAGATCGACTCGTCCGAATCTGAATCGGATTCAGATGAGGAGGAGAAAGACCGAATAGGTTTTAGGAGGAGAGGCAACGGTGGCGGGATATGAGATGCGAGATACGGATGTAGCAGTAAAGTCGGAGCTTGACAGTGAGGATGATGGAGGCGGCAACGAGGATGAGAGACAAGAGCGCGAGGCAAGGGCAAAGGAGGACAACGAGGAGGGAAGGTTCCTCCCGCCTTGCCGCAAGCGGCGAATGGCGGACTTTGTCTGAGGCATCGGAGTGGATCTGGAGAGAACGGGGTGGGGATGCCATGGACATGGGCGGCGGCGGCAGCTAACTGGCGGAGACCGGAGTAGGGATCTGGTTTCCTAAAGATGAAGGCCATTCCAGTGCCATTAGGCCATCTCCGACCGAAAAACTCATTCTCACTCCAAAATGTCTGTAACACTCCGATCGAATTTCATTTTCTAAAGTAAAAAAAAAAAACGAATATCAGGAAGGAACAATATTCTGACTGGTGTTGCCAGAACAATTAAGACGCACTTCAGGAAGCATCCACTTGCCATTGTGAACATTAATGGGAGAGCCAAGGGAACTTCAGTCCAAGAGTTAGTATTTGAGCTAGAGGTAAATTGTCGGGCAATGCATTCAGATTCAGTGCCTTATAATTTTCTTTTGCCTAATTCCTTTTTTTTTTTTTGGATTGACATTGACAGCAAGCAACAGGGTCGGTTTTGGTCTCTAGAGAGCCCAACAAGGTAATCTTGTACAGAGGCTGGGGTGAAGGAGACGCATGTGGAGGCATAAAGAAAAATGGTGTGAGCAACATGTCTATGGAAGTCAACGATGGGTTAGTTTCCCATCAGCTAATTGAAGCCATCAAACGGGAATGTGGATTACCATCTGCTGAAGCACAATAAGCATTCGTATCTGTTTGCTGATTGGTTTCAGGTTTGATAATTCTTCTTTCTTTTTACCCTGCTTTCATTCTCATTTTGTAGATAGCATGAATATTTATTGTATAATGGTCAAATGATTTGGGACTGTATGCAGATATGCTGAAATTATCAGGTCATAACTCATTTTGCTGAACAACAACAACGTCAAATCTTTATCCCACTATATGGTTAGCCTTATGAATCCTTTTTCTTCCTTGTGTCCTATTAAGAGTCAAATTCTCATCTAAATCTAATAAAAAAAAATCATCTCTAATACTTTTCATAACTCATTTTGACCAAAAAGTCTATTCTGTTGTTTTCGATGATATGTGCTGTTTCCATTTTAAGCATCGTATGAGCGATCTCTGCCCAGATTACAACTGTGTTGGTTGATACAAGCCTGAAATTTTATGATTCTTCCTAAGCTAAACCCAATAATTGTTGCTGAAACCAAACTGTCTATGAAGAAATTCGGTTTTTCAGTTGACAGTTAAAGTTATGAGTTGAAACAAATGATATGTTCCCAAAATACTGTCTCAAGCAAGCCAAGGATAAAATCTGTAGAAGAACACCAACTCAGTTTTGGGTCAGTGGCATCATAGATCAGGAGGAGGTCGTACATATTCAGTCTAGCCTGCCATACCTTAATGATCCATATTAGATAGCCTTCTACCTTGGGCTTGGGCTTCACTAGACCTAGTCCATAATGGTTATGACTCTAGGGGGAAATTTAATCATTATTGTCAAAGGCGCTAGGTGATGTTAAAGAGAGATGGAACTCAATGCCCAAGGTGCTTGGCACTCACGCAAGTGAACATTTGCAACAACAACAACAACATCAAGCCTTTATCCCACTATGTGGGGTCGGCTACATGAATCCTTTTTCTTCATTGTGTCCTATTAAAAGTCAAATTCTCGTTTAAATCTAATAAAGAAAGGTCATTCCTAATATTTTCTAACCAAGTCTTTTTAGGTCTACCCCTACCTTTCTTAACATAAGTCAAATCTAATACTTCTACTCTCCTAACCGGGTCATCGGAAGACCGCCGTTTTATGTGACCAAACCATCTAAGGCGACTTTCTCTAATCTTATCTTCTACTGGAGCTACTCCAACCTTTTCACGTATATGCTCATTTCGTATCCTATCTCTAAGGGTAAAGCCACTCATCCACCTGAGCATCCTCATCTCTGCCACACTTAACTTATTATTATGCTTCTCTTTTAATGGCCAACATTCGGCACCATAAAGCATTGCAGGCCTCACTATCATCTTATAGAATTTTCCCTTAAGTTTGAGGGGTACATTTCTATCACATAACAAGCCCGATGCATTCCTCCACTTCAACCATCCAACTTGAATTCTGTTGATAATATCCCCATCTATTTCACCATCACTTTGAACAATAGAACCAAGATATCCAAACCGTGTACTATTATTAATGACTTGATCGTCCAAAGTCATAATCCCCTCACTAGGTCTATTGCTACAAAATTACACTCTATAAATTTAGTTTTAGATTTACTCAAGCGAAAACCTTTAGACTCTAAGGTTGACCTCCATTATTCAAGTTTACCCGAAACCTTTAGACTCTAAGGTTGACCTTCATAATTCAAGTTTACCTTCAACTCCCTCTCTAGTCTTATCAACAAGAAGAATATCATCAGCAAAAAGCATACACCAAGGTACATCCTCTTGCAAATGTTTAGTGAGAACATCCATGACTAAAGCAAAAAGATATGGGCTTAAGGCTGATCCTTGATGTAACCCAACCGAAATAGGGAAATACTTGGTCAACCACCTTGTGTTTGAACACAAGTAATAGCTCATGCATACATATCTTTAATGATTTGAATATAAGTGTTATTAATTCATTTCTTTTCAAGAACTCTCCATAGCACTTCTCTTGTAACTTTATCATATGCTTTTTCTAAATCAATTAATATCATATGTAGATCCTCCTTATTCTCTCTATATTTCTTCATCATACCTCTCAATAAATGTATGGCTTCTATAGTGTAGACCTACCCGGCATGAATCCAAATTGATTTTGAGAAACATTAGTATCACGCCGCAACCTACGCTCCATAACGCCGCAACCTACGTTCCATTAACTTAAAAAAAAATATATAAAAACATAATTAAAAAATATAATTAAAATAAATTTACTTATACAATAATTACAATATGATTATAATTATCATTAAAATGATGGATACTATTATTTGTGCTTAATTTTTACTAGTTATCATTAAGTTTAATAAACTATTAAATCTCTCTCTTATGTTAATGTTTCAACTTTCATTAAATCAAACAATAAATTAGTTATTTAATATTTAATATTTCCATAATTTTTCAATTTGTTGAAATTTAAATTAAATTATTTCTGAAGTGATTATCTTAAAGTAATTTATTATTATTTTTTCATTTTAATTATGTGAAGTTCTTTTTTGCAACATTTTTGTTTTAATTTTTTAATGGCATCATTAAAATAAATTAATGCTATTAATTATAAAATGGTTAATTACTACCTACTATTAAAAAATAATGAAACTAACAAATTTATATAAGTAGGATTTCATAATAATTTAATTTAAGATATAATGTTTAAAAATAAATTAAAAATTTAAATGCTAACTAATTAACTTCTTATATGATTAAATAATCTTGCACTATAAAACTACTAAAATTCTGCCAAAATTTAAAATTTAAGGATGTGATTGTTAGGTAATTTCAAGAGAGATAAATGAAAAAGGGAAATTTGAATTTATATGACCAAAGTGCTTGGAATTGAAAAATTGTGCCGAATATTTTATTGTTTTGCAAAATATGCCCAAAATTTCTTTTCATACTAAAATCACCCCCTTATGCAGAGTGCTTGGTGAAGTTTGTCATGAATAAATTTGGTATGAACTAGTTTGAATTTGAACTTTATTCATACTAAGTTCAACAAGATTCAAATAAAGTATGAATTTGATTAGAATATTTATTCACATGTATTAACTCCCACAATTCATTCCCCAGCAAGGTCCTTTCAGGCTAGCCACCTGTCTTGAGTTCTTGTTCATAGCCAATCACTAGTCCAAAATTTTATGCTGTTCTCATTCCGTAATGAAAACTCATATGAGCTTCACTAATCTTGTGATTCTTGTTGTCCAAAAACACATAAAATTGCTATTAATACTTGTTTAATATTGATTAGATTGGTAATTATGAGTCATACAGTGTCAACTGAGTCCTTAGGAAAGTTATATAAGTGGACTCGAGAGGTGAAGTTTAACTTTATCAAAAATTTCCAAGACTGCCATGGCGCCAGGATTGGCAATGCCGCAACATTCAACTCTCTATTTGGGAGGAGAAAATGAGGGAGCATTGCGGCACCAAGAAGCATCGCCACGGCATCATGGCATTGAGCTCTCTGTTTGGAGGATTTTAGGAGAATTTGGAATATTCAGCTGAGCATAGGTGTGACACCTCCATGTTAATTTAGTATTTGGTTCAATCCGTTATGGCCCGAATTTAAAAAGGTAAATATTTGAAATTTTATAATTTGAACCCATTTGCATGTGTTTGGAAGTGTTTTGATGTATGAAAAAGGTCTTCATGTGTTATGGAATGAGTCATAGGGATTTGAAATGCATATTGATGAATTCTAGAATTTCTCCCCTTGGAGCGTCGTAATGTTGGGTGTTTGAGCGCCACGGCGTTGCCTTCTTTTAGCATTCGACCAAGTTCAAAAAGTTTTCCAGATCAAAGTATGTCATATTATGTCTATCTAAGTTTTCAAAAATATGATTTTTTTTCAAATTATTCGATTAATTTTATATTTTGTTTATTAAAAATGAGAATAACATTAAGCCACCATCCAGCGTTGTAGCGCTAGTTCAAATTCCAAAAACTCGAGACTACAACACTGCAATGCCATTATTTAGCACTAGGCGTGCACGGTGCTCGAACACCCAACATTGTGGAGCTCTATGGGGAAAAAATCTAGAATTAGCCAATATGCATTTCAAACCATTGGGACTCATTCCAGAACACATGTAGACATTTTTCATACACCAAAATACTTTCAAACACGTGCAAATAAGTTCAAAAGATAAAATTTCTCGAACTTATTCTAGAATGCTGCAATGCCAGTTCAAATTCCAAAAAAACTTGAGACAACAACACCACAATGTCACTATTCAGCAACTAGGCACCACTGTAGCATCGCTGCACTCAAACACCCAACATTGTAGCACTTTAAGGAGAAAATTAAAAAAATTGCCAATATGCATTCCAAACCCCTAGGAATCATTCCAGAACACATGTAGACCTTTTTCATACACCAAAACTCTTCCAAACACATGCAAATGGATTTAAAACAATAAAATTTAAATTATTTATCTTTTTTAATTTAAGTTAGAACACATCACTTAATTTGGGAGTGTCACAAGTCACAACTCTGCTCTCCATAGAAAAATATTATTATCGATATTTTAAAACTCAGATATTATATCACACAAAAGAATCAGGATAAGATATGAAAAAATGTATGCTGGGAGATTTATGGGCCATAATCTTTTGAAATTATATCTATGATTGAGAATCTTAATATAAAAATTTGTCTGATGGAAGTCATAATGAGCCAAAATCTTTTAATATTATGTCTGAAAGATGAGAAAATTTTATTGGGACTCACAAGGGGCCAGGATCTTGTGAGATTTTTTTTGGAATTGGAGAAATTTGTGATATATATGAACTATTCTGTAATATGACTTTCAATTTATTTAACTGCTAAGTATTATTATTTGAATCTTTGGATAACTGTTATACTCTTATTATTTTGCTAAGCATAATAATTTATTTAGTTGCTTTTAAATATTCTAAAAATGTTCAATAAAATAAATAATCTGAAAATTTTGATCAATGATTGTGGTCTACTGAGTATATATATATATATATATTGATGAAATGAAAGAGATTTTATAAATGAGTTTATTTTCAGTATTCTGAATGTTTTAGTAGCTTTGTTAGTTATTTTTTATTTAAAATATATAGTAGAAGATAATATGAAACATTTTTAAAAATAGATATCAGTATTTATTTGTCACAGCTCAACATAATAAAACATATCCTATTGGGGTCGCTTGTGACAACAATGGCGCAAAGCATATACTAGCGTCGTGATGCTAGACCAAATTAATGATTTTTAATTATTAAAATATCATAAACCATTTTCTAAAAACTATTTCACCCCACCATTTTTTGGAGAAAAGATGAGGAGAAGAGAGAGGAGATAGAAAGAGAAATAGAGGTTTTAGAGGCAAAGAAGTTGAAATTATCCATCGAGCCTATTCAAAAGATCATATAGCACAAGGTGAACCTCTAAACTCTTATCTTTGATTTTAATTCTAGTAGTTTTATAAAAAGATATAGATAAAAATATTTTTTTTTCCTCAAATTTTATGATATTTTCACCACATAACTTTTGGTATGTTGTTGTACACCTTATTCCAAGTATTTTAACAATAAGAACTTAATTTTCCTCTGATTGATTTTTCCTACTTAAATTCCTGAGTATATAATTTGATTGAAGCTTTTCTAACAATTATAACAATTAAATACAAGCCTTAAAATTTCCATATGAATACTCCTTTGAAGTTAGAATTTGAATGAGGAAAGTTTAGTGTGTATAATATTATATAGGCAATGTAATTTTTTAGTGATAATTTTGGCAATTCATATATCATTCAAGTATATCATTAGAATCAAAATTAATTACTATTACATTTATATTTGTACTACCCATAGCATGGCACTAGAGAAGTTATGATATATTGAAAGTGCACTATGTGTTATGCTATAAGTGCTTTATATATTATGTTCTTGCTCCATTTGTCTTATGTGGATGTGGGAGGGATTCTAGCACACTTGTTGAAAAGCATATGTGGGAGGTTATATTGTATTATTTTGTTTTGATTTTGACCCCACTTACTATATGTAGGTATGAGAGGTTAATTGAATGTATAAGTGAAAGTAGAGTTATAAGCAGACATCAGGACATATTCGTTATAATCATGCATTATGTAATATGATAGTTTAATGAATCAGGTGTAAGGAATATTCTGAATTGAATGTTAATAAAATTTAAATTTCTGTATGAACCCAGATGGAATGTGAAGGTTAAGTCCAAATGGAACTCAATAATAAATATTTTATGATATATCTAAAATTTCTTTGAAAGTGGCTCTACAAGTATAAGTAATAACTTTAGATATAAGTAAATTGAAACCCTAGAAAATCATATTATGCTAGTATTTTATTCATTCTTAACAAGTTATTGTGTTTCTAATTAAATTGCAATTTAATATTTTTAATAAACATCGATATATGTGATGGGGGAAGACAAAAGTCTACTGAACTGGTTATACACATAATTTTAATCCACGTTCAAACTATTTTTTCCTGTGATATGTTCTAATAAATAGTTCACATACATAAAATGGGGTTAATTTAATGTGAAAGAAACTTTCATATATATTCCTTTACTAAATAAAATAATGGACATATTTATTTAATTTTAGGCATTATAAAGTCAAAGTTTTTAACAATAATTATTGACTCTTAAATATTTTTATTTTAAGATAATAGTTTTTTATTATATATAATTTTATTTTAATTAATTATCTGATATTTTTCAGATATAAATATAAAATCATAAAAACACGTCTACTAACAATTTTTTTTTTTTCTTTTTCATAAATGAATGCATGAAGTTTGTCCAGTTTAACCCAAAAAAATATATTTTTGCAAGAGAACTTCGCAGCCTCTCCGCACCTGAGGCGAGAGAGAGAGCGAGAGAGGGGGGAGCCGTTGTGGATCCGCATTTGCGCTGGGATCTGTACTGTATAGCCAGTGGATGAAACCCCCCACGCTGCTTTCTCTCACCATTGACTCAGCTCTGCTCCACATCGCCCACATCAAAGATCTTTCTGCTGTTCCCGATTTCATCCTTGTCGAGCTCTTCCTGGTAATCGTTAACGATTCTCCCTCTTCTCCTCTCTTCTGCATCTCCTATTAGTGATAGCTAAGATCACCCATCTTTCGCTGGGATTGGCGCCGTTTCCCCTCCTATGTATGAAACCGGGCTTCAATGGCCCTGCTTTGTTAAGCCTGGAATCGGAGTATATGTGATATGATTGATCCGCGTATTTTTGCTCGGTATATCCCGAAGGCAAATGATTTCTCCATCCCTATTCCTCGAATTATGATTAAAACTGTGATGTGCAAGTAGAAAATAGTAAGTCTAGGGTTTTTTTTTGTCAAAAACTGTTGGCTGCATTGGTTCTTGTATGGATAACGTGAAATTTATTTCATATCTGTGCTCTTTATTGTGCCTCTCCACAGGATTGCCTTTTGTTTTTTTGCGATGAACCAGTAAGTCAATCGAGCTTTTCCCAGTCAATCATATTTTTTTGTCTTCATATATTTTTTCTTCTCTCTTTATTTATATCATACCATCCTTTTCTCATTTTTGAAGTATTACCCGGATTATGTTAGCTATGTTAGTTAATATGATTGATGCGAGATAGATTGTTTTTTTTTGGAAAAAAGAACTATCATCTCCATTTTTAACCCTGCTTTAAAAGATTCAAAATGGCATGTAAGCGTGCATGTGGACCAGTAGGCGAGTCTCAACCATTTTAGCCTGCAGTTATATTTGACTGTCATTTTCATGTGTGTTGTATTCATCACGATGGGAGATTGTTCATAGCGATTGATTGGTCTATTAAAGAAAACATTCTTAAGAAAATGATCTGTAGTTCATGTCTCATTTGGTTCCATGGCCTACAAATGGAAGAAAGTTTGTTTGAAGTTTGGTAAGTCTAACAGGTAAATTATAATATTGAATGACAGGTTGGTGGCTGTTTGAAAGAGTAGACTTTATTGAACTAAGATTCTTTAGAGAATGAGTGTAATTTTGTGAATTATTCTATTTTAAATTTAAATCACGAGATATTTACTCACTAATATGTCGTTTTAAAGTGTTCTTTGTATTTCAAGTGGTCCTCAATATATTCAAAATTGGTCAATCCGCTCAATGCTTTGTGAAGATGAATTGGTTGTTCAATTTGATATAAATACTTTAATTTTCTGCAAATCACATTATCTTTATTGTTTTTCCTTGGAATAATCCAATTTTCACTTCTAAATGCAGCAAAAAGCTTTCTTTTTCCAACTTATGCTGCAATGATACGTTCAAGCAGACACCTATATTAGCAATAATAGCAAATTCAGCGGTTTCAATGTTGTCTAATACAAGATCGATTACTTTTTTCACCAGTTAGTATGGATATGACACTAAATAATAGTTTCACATTTTGAGGCAATGTGATTCTTGGTAATATAAAAGTTCTTTACCATAAGGGAATGCTTGTAAGCTTGAAAAAAGTTGTGCAATAAAGAAAAGGGGAAGCCAAAGTAGCTAATCTCTATCATCATCATAATCTTTTTAATAGAGGTAGATTGGAGTACGATTGATCGTTTTTAATGCAGAGTTTTTGAGTTTAGCCTTTGTTCTTGATATTCCATCACCATTTTTTGGAGCCAGAATGATCATTGGATAAATATCGGTGGCTAGATGATTGAAGATTGCTCTTTTGCTATTTGGGGAACCTGTTTTCAATCCTGCGTGTGTGCCCGCTAGTCCAACTAAATGGCCATTGTAGGTGCAATCAAGGAAGGAGCCTGCAATTCAGTACTTATCATCAAGCCCTAGGTCATAATTTGGAAGTGGTTCATCATCTTATATATCTTCAAAATTTTCAGATTCAATGGGTATGTATGTAGTTATTAGTGGAGAGACTACAGTGGGAGGGAGTACTATGATTTCCAGTACATTTAAGTTTTTCTCCCTTAATAAAAATTAGGTTCTTTGCTATTTTGATAGCTTTACTGTGCGTATAATAAAGAAAAAGCTGGAGACTTGCTTGGCTTATTCAATAAAAAGGATTCTTTATCAAAAATATTAATTGAATAATTACAAGAGGGTTAATGTTGTAGAGATGATGGGGGTAATGAACCAATTGTTTGATCAAAATGAGGGTGTATGTGGATTGGAAAGGAAAGATGGAGTGGCATTTTAAATTTGGCTTAAGAGGGAGAATGCAGTTTATTTGGCATGAACTAAATGAGCACCGAGCAGTTTAATTTATAGGCCTTAATATTCAGCACAGATCAGTTTTTTTTTTTTTTAAAGATAGGAATTTTTTTTACTTTTGTACCTTTTTGAGCTCACAAGTAGAGAGAAATTGAGGAAAAAGAGTATGCAGTTAAGGGGATAGTTTTTGAAAGAATTATTGTTTATTCATTTAATATGTTGTGAAAATGAATATAAAAATAAGGGTCTACACGTCATAAAATTTGGAAATTCAAATTCCAAAAGTAAAAATTCCTATCAATAAGTAGAAAATTCTAATTACAATAAATGAAAATTGAAAAATAATAAAATATGAGCATCTACCCTTATCCCCTTCCCTTTCCCCACCGTCTTATCCTCCAAGGGTTGACCACATGCGGTATAGGAGAGACAAAAGTAGTGAAGGGAAGTACAGATGATAGGCTTGTTTATTTTTTGATTTGTCGCCTCTAGTATGCTCCCTTGTAACTCCTTTTGCTCTCTTGTACTGCATACATGCTAAACCCAGCCATTCCACATGCGAACTTGATTTAGTCATGTTGGTGAGATTTCTTGAACATCTTGTAGATAGCCCTATTTGTATTTGGTGCGCTATCTTGGTGCATTACTGTATTTTGGTCATCTGGTTGCCCAATGTTGGGAAGATCCTCCTGGATTCGCATTAGGTTGGACCTCAACTTTATAATCAATTAACAATCCATATCCTTTGATAGCCTCCTACAACAGATTATAAACAGTCTAAGCTTAACATTATAGAGGCAGCATATATTTCATTATTCCAAAACTAATGCTCCCCCTTTTTGACTTCATTAAAGAAGGCTCTTCCGAATCATGTGACTATATAAGATAATCATTTCACACTAACAAGTCCAGCGTCATCATCATTTACTTCAACTTCCATAAATCAAAAGTTAAAACTTGTTTATGCTTAATTTAAGAGAAAAATAAAAATAAAAACCATCTTCTTCAATTCAAGGAGATTGGAGCAAGATACAAACAATCTTTGGTGAAACCCTAGGTCTAATTATTTAAATCTTTCTTCTTATATAATTGTTCCTTAGAGAAATTCTCTATATGTGATCAAGATTCACTTAAGGACTTCTACCGTCACTCTAAGTCTCAATTTGAGAGCTTGTAAATATAACCTTAAGTTACGTAGATATGGATGTAATGGGAATAATGTTATTATGCTTGATCTGTATTCCGTTCCGTCAAAAGCCCAATGTTTGGGTTTTTGGGTTAAACTCATAAGAGTTAGAGCCTTAGTTATCAACTTATTATTTTCTTAAAGAGTAGTGGCACATTCACTCTTGTAAGTTAAAATTAAATTGGGTAATAAAGCACCAGTTACGAAGGCTTCCTAAAATATTCTAATTAACTCGGATTCTTGAATCACAAACTATAGAAAATTCAACCACTTATATAGAATACTTTGTTGTCTATCAAATACATTCATTCATGGGTATCTTAGGTTTGAGAGAAAATTCACCAGCTACCATTATTTTGAACCCGTATCATTTGGTATCTAAATGTAGATCCTTGCTTGTAGGTTATGAGGAACTCATCATTGTGAAAACTAGGATAGAAACCTAAACCTAGCCAAAGGTGATATTACTGAAAATCTAGTTGAAGGAAAACCGTCCACATCATGCCAAGAAGGACTAGAAGGAAGATGAACTAAACTAAAATGCTTTTTGTTAACTTGGTCAAGTAGATATGATGTGAAACAATCAACGGAATTGCAGGATTTTATTAAGAAATTTATTTTAGCAATGAAATTATAGGATTAATGTTTTACTAAGTTAATGACTTTTAGTTGTCGTGGTTATTGACTTGTTTCAAGCATGCAGTTAAATGTTAAATTAATGGAACAATCTGAAATAATAATAATAAAATAGTAAAACAAACATGTAGCTAAAGATAATCCGCAACTTAACAATTAGAACTTTCACCTTAGAGTTTCCATCTTGATCGCTCTTTGGAAGTAGGGTTAGCGGGGGACGAAGGTTAGCAAGCTCAGTGATGCCACTGAAAGATAGAGGATGTCGGCGGTTGTAATCAATGGAGAGTTGGCCGGAGTTGGAGAGGCGGGTGATCGTCCGGAGTTGGAGAGCCGGCTCCCAAATAATTGGAAGATACGAAGTTCCGGTGGCTGTTGGAGGGCTTGGAAAGAAGTAGGCGGCATCCAAGAACCTTCTTGAAGTCGCGGTCAGCAATCTGAAATGTCCGGGCAACGTTTGAAGACCTTCCGATAGGCTGGACAGAAAGAAACAGGTGCAGATTTTTCCTGGACAGCAACCCGTACTGTTGGGACACAACTTGGACACCTTCTATGTGGTTATGGGTGCTTTGCACCCTAGCAGAGGGACTTCCGACTTCCGAGGTAAAGAACTGCAGGATCCTTCTGTTGGAAACCAAAACTGGCATCGAAAATCTCATGAGAACATGGAGAAATCGTGGGATAATGCTTGGGGAGGGCGGCTGGAGGTGGGATAGGTTTGGGAAGGGGAATTGGGAAGGCTGCTGGGGGGATTTGATAGGTTAGGAGGGGAAGAAGGGGCAGTTAGGGGTGTCAATTTTTGACATGACCCAAAACCCGACCTAGACCCCACCCGAAAAAATCCGGGTTCGGGTCGACCCGTTTGTGAAACGGGTCGGGGTCGGGTTCGGGTTGACTCGGCAGCCCAAAATTGACCCGAAATTTCTATGCCCGGATCTGCTGCCCGCCCTGCCCCAAGCATCAGCTGTCAAGTCGCGTCAGTTCCGAACTCCAAAGCGGCCAATCACGTGCCTCCCGAACGGCCGAACCCGAAGTCTCGCGGTGCGCGTCCCCAACGGCGGAACCGGCGAACCCGAAGCATCACGCTGTCGAGTCGCGTCGCTGGTTCGCTGGCTGTCTGGCTCGGGCTGCTCGGCGTCGCGTGCTGCACTGCTGCCACTGCCGCTGCTGCCACAGCATTGCCGGTAGTAGCGATCGGAAACCAGCGTTTGAGATTTATTTCCGGGTCGGGTCGTGTCAACCCGGCAACCCGTGCGGGTCGGGTCCGGGTTGAAAAAGACGACTCGTTTACAAAAACGGGTCGGGTTCTGGTTGACCCGTTTAGAGCCGGGTCAATTCGGGTTCGACCCGACCCGTTGATCCGAATTGACACCCCTAGGGGCAGTAGATGTTGGGAGAGAAAGGACAAAATTCTGAAATTTCTCTCATATTTTGTTTAATTGTGTGTTAGGGAATTTCAAAATTTGAAATTTGCAATTGGGAGGATTAGGAGGGAAGTAGGTTTGGGATCTTAATTAATTGGATCCTTAATGAGATACCAATTAATGAAGATTGGTGAGGTGGAGAAAATATTTTGGGAAGAAAAGAAAATCTGATTTTTAATTTTAGATTTTGAGTTGGAGGGAGGGAGAATTAATGCGAATTCAAAATCCCCAAATTAGAGTTAGGGAGCCGGCAGTTTTAGGAGGGGATTAAGGGAGCATTAATTGGAATTTGAATTGGATTGGAGAGAGAAATCATGAGGGAGAGAGGGGCCGGCCATGTAGAGAGGGAGTTTGTGTTTAGTATGTGGGCCCCAAGGAAATTAATGTGATTTCAATCAAATCTGATTTTAATTTCAGATTTGATTTAAATTGAAATAGCTTCCAAATGGGGTTTAACTCTCTAGGAAGGAGTTTTAAAATTCAAAATAGATTGATTGCCAACAATGATTCTTTCCTAAATAGCATGGAGGTAATTTAGGGAAGTAATTATGACAAAATTCGAAATTCAAATTTGGTGGGTTGAGGATTACGGGCCAGCGGGTTAAGCATGAAGAGGGGGAGAGGGGAGGGCCGGCTGGCGGCTGGACTGGTGGCCGGCGACTTGGGCGGCCAAGGGAAGGGGTGGTGGGTTGGGTATGGACTGTTTTGGAGAGTAGAAGAGGGTGAAGATGGTGATGCTGGCGAGATGAGCAAGACAAGGGGGTGGGGATGGAGGGGGAGGGAAGAACCGAGGAACTGCGAACCTTGGAATCCACCAAGATTGACGAGTGTTGCAATCACCCACTTAGGGTTGCTCTTCTCACGAACTGACCAAGAGATCATTTAAGAAAGGGGAAATTTTCATTCATAAGCATCATTAGAAAATAATACAAAGACTAGGTCTTCATATATAGGCCTCCAAAGCACAAAATATAAAAGACACAAATGCCCTCAGTCTACAACATGACACAAATCTCTCATAGGGGTACAAATAGAAAACTGAAAAATAAATAAAAAAAACACTAAAACACAAATAAAAACTATGAATCGTAGCCGTCAATCTACGATCCCGCCAATGTCGAAATGTACGGTGGATGTCCTCATCAAGATAATGGCTCTTGTGCAATGTAAAAGCTTCCAAGATAGAACATATCATGGAAGAGTATAAGAGGACATTAAGGAGTACCCAAAAGGACCATATGTCATGCCCCAAGTGTAAACTTGAAAGAATTGCATCATTTTGTCATCTAAATATCAACCAGAACTTGCTAATTTCATAAATACAATAAAAACAACAAAAAATATAAATTCATTTCTATTCATCCAATAATTACACCTTAATCAGAGACTAAAAAACATATAAAGTTATCGTGATGTAGCCAAAGTCATCCATCACTAACACAATATATCATGATTATAAAAAAAGAAAACCAACAAATACAGAAAGAAAGTCTAGCTTTCTGTCCGGATCAATCTCATTGTACAGGTTCCTTACCCTTATCTAAAAACATATAAAAAGCATATAATGAGCACATAACCTAAATAAATACATAATGAGCACATAGCCTAGCAAGCAACCAATAACTATAACTTGAATCAATATAACTTGAATCAATGCACCAAAAAAAAATAAATGCATGTAATCATTCGTTTTCTAAGCAATGTAACATTCAATATGAATAGTATGATATATATATATCATATCATATGCCTTTGTATCAATCTTATCAGTCTTATTGTATACATAAATCATTCATATCCTATATCCTTCAATTAGGCAGTCAATATCATCAATCACTCAATCAATATCATCAACAAATCAATCATCAAATATCATATGCCATCAGACTTATGTATCACCTGTAATCAGTTATATTTATGATCTGTCATTTGTCATCGCTATCATTTGTTTGTCATCTATCATCAGTCACATCTCTTGTCTATTATATCTATCATCTATCATTGATCATCTCTATCACCTGTCACATATTTAAGTTGTTATTTTTTGTGTATAGTTAAAGCATTTATGAAATATTTCGGTTAATTATTTTTGTGTGCATCACTCTTTGGCATGCTATATAAATGTCTTCTTAAACATTATTTAAAATGGTGCAACACTTAACACTTTAGTTATAATTTTCTCCTTTTGAATTCTTTCCCAAGTAAGCAAAGGTGTAAGCTGTTTTGGCTTACTACATCATGTCCAAGTTGCTTGCTAATGTATGAGTAACTAATATATGAATATTAAATAAATTACATTAAATGATACACCATACAAAGTCTATAATTATCAAATCAAGGGCGAGTCACATATGAGTCGAAGGAGCTCATAAGATCAACAAAATTAGGATGGCTAAAAAATGCAATGGAATCTCATGACAGTCTTATAATGTCTTTGTGCATTATATTGAAGTCATATTTGTCCCTTTGGATAATTCAACATAATTGTTATTCTCTGAATCTCTATTAAAAGAATTTCCTTAAGCTTAAATCCCAGCATTGTAATTAAAACTTGATCCTTCATTTGCCTCCAAAGTTTTCGGCGTTCTTCTATCTGAATATTCAATTGTTCTGCGGTGTGATGCAGTGACGTATCCGCTACAGCATTGCGAACCATGTGTTATTAAATACTTTATAATGATAAACTTATAATTTATATTGCTCTTATTTTAGTTTTTCCAGTAAGGAAGAGTGCCCAGCTTGATAAAACAACAAAAAACTAACGCAGAAACTAACCTTTCTTAATTGCAAATATATGTGTAGTGCTGAAAATTAAGTTCCCAGTGTTCTCAATATGCTTTGTGCAAATATCAATATTTATATTTGTCGGAAAAGAAGGATGTGAATGTTGAGATGAGCAAATTGATATTGCAAACAGAATTTTTACTTGAGTTGTTTTATTTCATAGGTTTATGATTTTATTTTAGTTTATTTTGTTATAAATATTCTTATAAGATTATTAAGGTGATCCTTCATGAGAACGCATTGTGTTCTCTAATCCCTGGATTGGCCCAGCTCGGTTTGGTGCTATTGGTTCTCTGTTTTTTTTGCTAATGTTTCTTGTTATGTTCGTTTGGATTCAAGTTCTTTGTGGATTTACTTCTGGAGTTTAGTTGCTTATTGTTTGATGGGCTTCTATGGGACTTTTTGTGGGTATGTGAAGCTTCCACCTGTTAGCTTTGTGCTGTGCTTCATCCTATCATTTACTTTATCCGAATGGTACTTATGTTTACTGTCGCCGTCTTCTCATGATCATGACCTTCTAGGGTAAGTCAAATCTTTGTACTGGCATTTCTTGGATTGGTACTTTGATTATTTCTTTTATTTTATATCTTCTAGTTTAGATTTTAGTTCCAAGTCATCTTGTGTAATTGCTTTTGGTCAAAACTTGTACAATCTTGATTTTTGCAGTGTGATTTTTTATCTGCGTGTGATTTTATTGAAGTTGAATCATTTAGGGTAAATTTATGTGTTTTTTTCTTTTTCATCAAAAGAGAAACTTTTTTAACTTGATGGTTTTAAACTTCAAATTTTGATTCAGTGTGCATTATTTATGATTATTGCATCTTATGTTATTATTTAAAAAACCTCAAACTCTCGGACATCCTGCATCAATACCTGTAGGTTGCATATAGTTGTCTCTGCACTTCTGCAGCCTTGAGAAATGAAAGCTCCTGTACTGATAACAAAATACTTTTGGCTTGCCGCAGAAAACCTTGAGTGCAGGAAAACTAACAGAGAGGGTCCTCAAGTTGTTTATGTCAACTGGTAATGAGGAAATCGTCTCTTTTGTGGAGTCGCTCAATATCAAGCAGATACTAATCCCCGTCCTTCCTACCAGTATGAGGCTTGCAACTGACCATCCACATAACATATAAAAACTAGAAAACATGAGCTTACCTTGTTATTTGTTCTTTCCAGGGTGCTCCGAAAAATTCTAGGAAAACCGATATCTTTCTTTTTTACAGATCATACTAATCGTTAGCTTCAAGCAACAAAATGTTTTTTGAGATTTGCGACAACGAGGTGGACATTGTTATTGCTGCTCTTAAGCCAGATATTACCACATTTTTGGAGGGATGGCGACCCATCTTTTCCAGATTTCACCTTATTATCATCAAAGACCCAGACTTGGAAGCTGACCTTGAGATTCCTACTGGCTTTGATCACCAACTGTACACCAAATCTGACATGGAGAAGATCATCGGTTCCAGTCCCATTAACTTTTCAGGCCATTCATGTCGTTATTTCGGTTACCTTATTTCCACCAAGAAATACATCATATCAATTGATGATGATTGCCTTCCAGTAAAAGATGTTAGAGGCAATCTGATTAATGCTATAGAGCAGCACATGACAAACCTCAAGACACCAGCTACCCCATTCTACTTCAACACACTTTATGATCCATTCCAAAAGGGTTCAGATTTTGTCCGCGGATACCCATTCAGCCTGCGATGTGGCGTCGAGTGCGTAATATCTTCTGGTCTTTGGCTTAATTTTGCTGACTATGATGCTCCTACTCAGGCCGTAAAGCCTCACGAGAGGAATTCGCGATACGTCGATGCGGTGATCACTGTGCCTTTACGAGCGATGATGCCTGTGAGTGGGATCAATTTTGGATTCAGACGAGAAGTGGTAGGGCCTGCGTTGCTACCGGCTTTGCATTTGAAAACGGCAGGGAAGCAGAGGTGGGAAGCACTGGAGGACATATGGTCTGGGTTGTGTGCCAAGGTGGTTTGTGATCATCTGAAATTTGGAGTGAAGACAGGGCTACCCTATGTGTGGAGGAATGCTTCAGGAAATGCATGGGAATCACTGAAGAGAGATTGGGAAGGGGTGAAGCTGATGGAGGAGATTGTGCCTTTCTTCCAGTCGGTGAAGCTGCCAAAAACAATGATAATCGCCGAGGATTGTGTGCTTCAGATAGCGACTTTGGTGCGGGAACGATTGGGACCCGTCGATCAGGTCTTTATGCTCGCTGCAGATGCCATGGAGGAATGGGTCAAGCTCTGGAAGACCTTTGAATCTGAGAGAAACTGAAGAGTTTCTTCTTCTTTTTTTCTTTTTTCAAATTTTCTTGATGCACAGAGATGGAGGTTGTCATGAACAGCAGAAATAAGATTCAGGTCCAGTGATGAACCATTTCTTAGTTTGGAATTGATATGAGGATATTCTCATTAAGACTAATAGTTTCCAGTCTGAGTTTCTCCATGTTAATTTGGTTTATGATGATCTTGCCAATTGGTTTGCTTTGTTCTTTATTGTAATTTGGTACCAACATCCCAGGTGAATCTTTCTGAACTTCAATGTTACAAAGCATTCCTTTTTTACCGTTATAGAAACGACTATAATTAAATAATGCAAAGAAGCTAACGTATAGTTGTTCCATAAAGCTCGCTATAAAGCGAAGAAATTGGGCTGCCTGATAACTCTTCAAAGGTCAGGCAATGCATGATGAATTCTATGATGATAATGAGTTCTTTAATTGACAAATCTTGTGGGATAAATTCTCTGCTTGGTAAGTGAATGCTTTGTTGATTGATAGACGAGTTCCTTTGAACGAGTAATGAATAACTTTGGCGAGTTGAAAATTTGAATATGTCAAATATGATTTTTTTATTGATGTTTACATTTTTGAATAAATTTTAAGAAGAAGCATGATCAAAATTTAAATTATGTGAAGGAGCATAATTTTATAAAAATTTTAAAAGAGGCAAATTAATAAAACAGTTTGGCTAATTTCTTTACATGAAAAACGTCAAACAATTTGGCAAACTTGAATCATATTGTAATATTATTTACGATTTAAAATTTTGTTTGAAAAAAAAATTATTGAGTATATAAGATCTATTAATTATTGGACATTGATTTTAATATGAGCTATAAAATATGCAGCAAATTGTATAATGTATCTTATTTAATATAATTCCAACAAGATTAATTTATAATTCATTAATTCAAAATTTGAACTAATTCTACTTGACAATATCTAACACAGAGTTTATATTTCTTTTATTAAAAATAGTCTTTGACTTAGTTTAAGGTAAGTTTTGTACAATTAAGTTTTAATTAATTGTATTATAAGATCATGGCCATGCTGCACAATTATGATTATAATATACAATTAACCAATACTCTAATTTTCAAGTAAAATTAATATTTGCTTGAAAAATACATATAGTTTACACCCTAAATGCAGTGGGAGAGGTTTTTTGTTGGAAACTCCTAAACCCACCACTTATAATATTAAGATAGAGAGAGAGTTTATTTAGAGAGAGAGAGAGAGAGAGAGAGAGAGAGCATATTGGTTATTACATTCTTCTATTCATCTTTCATTTCTCATTATTTGCAAATCTAATTGATTGAGAGCTAAAAGCTCATAAACCAATTATGATTTTATGTGCAACTAACTAGTGTGCTAGAGTAGCAAACTTCTTAGATGAAGTAAAATTAGATGTAGAGTTTCTCCATTACTCATTAAGGAGAAGGGCTTTTCTACCATCTAATTTTACTTAGTGAGAATCTCAAGAATACTTATGGAGTGAATGTAGGCCGTTGGCGCTAAATCATTATACATTGACTTGCATCTGCTCTATTTTCAACATGTTTACTTTATTACATCTTTTGATGTGCTTTAAATGCTTTGTGTTGAGGTGAAATATATTGTGATTTAATCTTTACTTGTGATACAAAATCTAAAAAATATATTTTAGAAGAATTTTTATTCAAAGAACTTGTTATTTGAGAATGTTTTTGTATATCAAAAGAAAAACATGTTCTATTTGGATATGATTTTATTTTGTTTAAAAAAATTTCAAAATGACACAAATTAACGCCCTCTTAATTGTGTCAATACCTTTCATCCATTGCACAATCCTATTATCCCGTCTTTGGAGTTGTTTGACAATCCTAACATCCAATATTTAATGGTAAATATTTGTTCCTCATCAATTGGATTGAGGGAATTAATGATGTATAGATCTATGGGTATATGTCTCTTTCTTGATGGATATCTAAAATCGTCAATCAAATACTTTTTACTCTTTTATCTCCTCCTTTTACAATTTAGTAACTTAGTCGTACTTCTATGTACAATTATAATTGATGAATTAACATCCCATACATTCTCGACCTCCTTATATGTGAAAAATGGCAAGGAATTGGTCCCTATCTTCTCCACGTACTCCTCCACCTCTTGCTCTATTTCCTTCTTTTTTTGAACATCATCCCCAGCCTCAACTAAGTAAATGGTTGAGTCTATAATAAGCACCTCCTCAGTTTCATTTGTCCTCTTCTTTTGTTATGTACAACACTTTGAACTTAGATCAATTGCTCCAATCATATTTGACTATTCTCTAATCTAAAATGATGGTTCTTCAACTCCTTTACAACCACAAAAAGTTATTTCATCTCTTTGTAGAAGAGCGTGAATTGACTTCCAATTGCTTATGCTTCTTCTTGCTTTCATGATTTCTCCTAAAAAATGGTGGTGTTCACTTTCGTCTTGGTGGCTTTAATTAGGATTGGTTATTTAGGGATATATACAATAAACTTATAGAAGTTTGTTTCATTTTCTATATGCACCAGCTTAAGATGAATAATTTATTCTAAAGAATAAGTTAGTAGTTTATTTAGAATAATGATCTATAACATGAATAAAAAATATTTTGCTTATTTGAAATCATGATCCCCACTTATATCATTATGCATTAGCATTGATAGTAAATATCTTCTTATGTGCACTTTGGTGCTCTTATACAAAACATCCTTGGCAACATCTTTCCAAGGAGCTCAACACATCTCCTCCCTAGCTTAGGATTAATTTTATAAGCCCAATCCTATAGTGTTATTACATATCTAGCTACACCGTGTTTGATTGGGGCAATCTTCTTTAAAATAGTCGCCATATGATGCACAATATTCCTCTTCAGCCTCTTGGCATCTTCTCCTTTAACATCTTACACAATGTATATCTAAAAAATGCTTTCTTATTTCAACCAAGCTAAGTGTCTTATTAAAAATAGTATTTTTTTTTGAATGCTCTCTCCATATATGAAAATTTTGAAGTTTTTGTCTTCACTAAGGTAGTTTTCTAATGACCTACTCTTTTTGTTCATCATATTGAATTCCTTATCGGGTGGGTACTCCAAACCTTACCCCAATGATCACAACAAATTTAAAAAATGCCAATTAATATTTCCTTGACTCCAATGTCAAACACAATGGAGCAACCCTATTTCTATAATCATCAAACATCCTTAATAACAACTAATGAAACAAGGCTTAGAAGAATTGACTAGCCTTAAATTGCCTAATAATTTTCACCATCATAACCCCAATTTTATATGTGACCCAAGCAATATAACTACTCTCTACATTTATAATTCGTGAAAATGGCTACATACATAGAAAACAAACTCAAATGAGTCAATCCTAAGAGAAATAATTATAGCAAAACAAAACAAAGTATGATTGAATCATGATCAAATCATATCCAAACATGATCGAATTATCTTTGAACTCACTTGAAATCATGACTGAATCTTGTGTGAACTATATTTGAAGCTTGTTTAAAACTTTGAACAAGGTTTGAGGATGTTTTTACCATATTTGGAGATGGTACAATTGTGGTTCGAAGATGATTTAATCATGGTTTGAATCATGATCGGGCCATGATCAAATCACGATCAAACCACGATCGAACCATCATTGAACATGATCAAACTAGATTCAAATTATGTTCAAACCATCTTTGAATCATGATGAGGCCTTGTGCTATAAGATGTTTAAACATTGTTTGAAACTTATTTGAAACTTTGAACATAGTTTGAAGATGGTTCAATCATTTTTTAATCATTATCAAAGATGAGTCAAGCATGATTCGAAGGTTGTTCTAGCAAGTTTGTTGCAGGTACTTTGATAACTAACACCATTTTAGTTTTTTGACTTAGAAATGAACAACACATTCAAAGCTAATTAACTAAACATATAATATAACGAGCCTTGAATACATGATGAATAGATAGACTATTTTCGTGAATGTTTGTGGGAGCCCAAACATACATGTTTTGTGATCACTCTATAAAGAGAAAGTGTTGTGAAGAGCATGGGTGTAGGAGTTAATATGATTGAAAGATTTTGTACTTATTATACTATACTTATTATATGAGGTTTTAGACTCCGATTTGTAATAAGCCCAAGAATTTAGATTAGAAATGAAGTTTTAGGCTTATTTCCCATAGGAAATAAAGATTTGACATATTTCCCTAATTGCAAGTAATATAATGCATATGATATCATATTTTCATAATATTTGATTTCTCTATTTATTATAAATTATAATGTATACTATATATATAAAGGGATTATTAATTAGTTTATTATCTCAAATTAAATTAAATAAAAATATATTATACTGTAAAATACTTGTTTTAAAATTTTTTATTGTGTGAATTTTTCAAATAAATTTTTTTGAACCAGAATTGTGAATGTTCTATTAGTTTTCAAACTACTTTTATTAAACAAGGATCATATTCTCCCAAGGATTTTTGCGTTGGCTCTAGGGTTTTAATGGCCTTTACGAAATTCCCCGTCTCCCAGCCGAATTCCTCCCAGACCGGCTGGGAGCTCAGGAGAAGAAACCTGAACAAGTGCTTTGCTTCGACGCTTGCAACCCCTTCGAGCTCCTTTTATTGCCAATTTCTCACTGCTAATCCCCAATATTATTATTCACCTGTTGCTTAAGTTTCTTTCCAGCGATGTCTTCATTGATCAAGAGAAAATCCGTAGATGGTGCGACTCCAGAGAATCCAATACCATATAAATCGCAGAGGAAGGACGAGCCGATGGTTATCGATGACGGTGTGACCTGCCTACACGATGTGTCTTACCCGGAGGGATATGTTGCGTCTCGCTCGGGGCCGACCCGCCCCACCGAAGGGAATTTGAAGCCTGCGAAGGAGTTCCCCTTCGTGCTCGATCCCTTCCAGTCCGAAGCAATTAGGTGCATTGAAAATGGCGAATCCGTAATGGTTAGAAGCTTCAGATTCTATATTCATTCTTCTTGAATTTTTTTACTTTTTAGTTTACTTGATAGATTAATCTTCAGCACCAATTACTCTTCTTTGGTTGTTTTTTTAAAGTCCGGCAAGTTGTCTCCTTTTTGCTTTCTTCTCGCGAGTGTAATCGTGCGATTGGTTCCTCGTTTTCAGCTTTGGTGCATGAAAAATCAAAATGGTTGGCCTTCACTCAAAGAAATCAAAATGGTCAGGTTCGCATGATTCCTCATTGTCAGCTTTAGTGCATGAAGAAACAATGTTTGTCTCCAGCTCTGCAGCCAAATTTTGAGAAGCTGATCAGAGCCTGGAATCGAACAGTTCCTGACCATTTTTCTCATGTTTCTTGTGATTGAAGGCTGACCATTTTTCTCAATCAAATATTCTGATAAGAAAATACCAAAAAAGTGCATTTCCTCAATGCAAAAGCTAGGTCTACTTTGTTTTTTCTCTTGTAGGCATATCAGATATGAGAGAAATCTCCCATTTACATCCAGTGATAGTGTAACGGAGCTCAATGGCTACAACAATAAACCTTCTTCCCAATTCCTCCGTTTAACTTTAATTCAAAATCCAGGAGATCCTCTAATGGGAACAAGATTTATTGTGGAAGTTGTTGAGCTTTGTTATGCTCGGTGAAATTTTTTAAAAGGACCAAATAATATATGTAATTAAGGAAAAAAGCCATAATACAACAACAACAACAACAACAAGCCTTTATCCCACTATGTGGGGTCGGCTACATGAATATTATTACTATATTTTATATTATATTAAAAAATAATATGTGAGATTATTTTTCATATTTATTATACGAGAAATGATTTCACGTATTTGCTCTTAATATTTTAATTACTCTTGCTTTTTTCCACTAATTTTAATTTATATTATCCTTCTCTTAAGAAATATATAAATCAATAATTTTTAAAATTTGTTTTTCTTAGAAAACCAAATTTTGTTTTTATAAGAAAATGCATTTTCTATAGAGAAAGCAAAATGGTTTTTTGTTTTGTTAGAAATCCAAAATTGGTTTTGAATTTTTTATGGAAATCGCAATATTGATTTTGGTTTTCTTAGAAAACCAAAAATTCTACACAAATGCTAATTCCTTTTGGTATTTTTGATAATTTATAATTTTTAACGTAATTACATCTTTTATCCTTAAGTACATAGCAATAATGAGCATTTAAAAAAATTGTCGTTATGCCATCAATGGATAGAAATGTGGATTTCTCTCAACTCTCTGAAGTCTACAAGGCGAACTGTTAGGTAGACCTAGCTTCTGCATTATGGGGATTCATTTCCTTGGCAAGTTTTGGCTAGAATCTTTGGATTGAAAAAAATTGTCATCCTTCAGTTATAATAGACATTTGGAAGAGGCCAAGTACTATTTGTGATGTGATACAACCAGGAGTTAGCGAGAAATTAAGAAGAGCAATTTTTGAAAGCTTTCCAATATAAAGTTATTGTTCACAACAAAGAAAGATTCTAGGAATTCGTAGTTTGAAACTTTCTTAGGCAAAGAAGAACACGTTAGATTAAACAATATAATTTGATCAAACTTCAAAGACAAAGGTAAATTTTATGAGTGCATAACAAAATCTACAATTTAATAATGAGAGGTTTCACTTTGAGGACCTTCTCACTCAGTCACTTGTGGGGTTAGCGGAAGAAGATACCCCACACCAAACAAGAGATCACCATTAGGAAGAAGAAGCCTAAGATCTTCGATGATGGAAAGGTAACCAACGACGAATGGATTGGTGGACGTCCCACAATTGACCACGATCCGATTAGGAGGTGCTCCTAAATTGCCGGTGCCAACGTGAAGGTGATGCGGTCGATGTAGTCTTCCACGAAATTGTCGATGTTCAAGTTCAAATCGAAGAAGGTAGATCGAAGAATATCCTTCCTTCCTTGATTGTCATATATGAACTCGAGATCAATGTCGGGATCAGCCACGCACTAGTGAGCCATGAGAAGAGATATGTTTGACTTCCCTTCTTGCAAGAGAGCTCATGAGATTTGGGGGAATTCCAAGAGGGTGGACAAACAAGAGGGCCAGCCAAGTATGGAGGGAATTAGGGTTTGTGGGGTCTAGGTTTGGGGTTATGGAAAGAGCATTAAATCTGAAATTAATTTCATATTTAATTAAATGAGGAGGGAAAAGAATTTGAAATTCAAATTCAAATTCAAATATGGGTTAGGGGAATTAGGCTTATTAAATCTCTTTAAAATTAATTCAATTAAGAGAATTAAATTAGGGTGTAGGGAAGGATTATAATTCAAATTTTGAATTCGAAAATTTGGAGCATTGGGAGGGCCGGCAGCATAGAGAGAATAAGGGGGAGATTGGGAAGGGTTTAATAGTTTTCTAATGCACTCCTATTAATTAGGGATGAAATAGGAATGACCAATCTAATTTAAAATTAAATTAGATCCCAATTTATAAACTTTTCTAATTCAGCTTTCTTAGTTTAGGAAAGTATTTAAAATTCGAAATTTGAATTTCAAATTATTTAGATCTTTCCAAACCAATTAGGCTATTTTAGGTAGGTGTTAATGATGATTGATTTTTTCATCCAAGGGGAAATAGGAAGGGGGTGGTCGGCGGTGGGGCTAGGGCTAGCTAGGCTGGCTGTTTGGGGGTGAAGGTGGGGTGGCCGTTGGCGGGTGGATGGGGTGAGGGGTGGCCGGCGTCTTAGAGGGGCATTGGGGAAAAAGGCCGGCCGGTGGAGGAGGTGGGTTGGATTGGCCGGCGGTGGTGGGAGGGAAGATAAGGTGGCCGGTGATAGGGAAAGGAAAACGAAGAAAATATTACGAATACTAACTGCGAGTCCCGGAATCCACCGGTGGCTGACGGGTGATGCAAGACCCTCTCGTAGGGTTTCTCCTCTCAAGAACTCACAAAGAGATCAACAAGACAAAAAAATTGAAATTTCATTCATAATCATCATTGACCTCATAAGAGGGAAAAGAGGGCTATAAATAGGCCCCATACAAGAAAAAAAGAAAAGGCCAATACATGCATCTAGTCCCTCAAGTGAGTGTAAAAATGGAAAAGAACACTAAAATCATAAAATTACAATACATCAATTAGAAATAAAACATGCGAACGTAGCCGTAGATCTTCGATGTCTCCTCGCGCTAGAATATCCTGTAGATGTCCTCATCAATTTGGTTCCAAGCTTTATTACTCAAAAGAAAGCTTATATTGAAAAAACATTACTGAGGAACGACTTCCCTGAAGTTGCTGTTGAGTTGGAGCCAATATATGATAAGACAAACATTGATTTTTCATGCAAAAAAGCTTAAAATGGAGGACCAAAAATAGATGATTTGCCATGTATAAAAGTTGAAAATGAGAAGAATAAAAGCTAGAGACGTTCGAAAACTCCATATAAATCTAGTGAGAACCATGGGTTAGAAAAGATGGAGGGTTACAAGGGCAATCCAACAGCAAGGTTGGATTTCATGGCAAACATTCTTTGCAAATTAAATCATCAAATATAGTTCAAAATAGTGAGAGTGAGGCCATTGCCTATCGTAGTGATAGCAATCAATAGGACAAAAAAGCAATGAAGTTTCCATCATGAGTCACCAAAATGAAGATGGAAATAAGAAGAAATTAGTAACATATATCACAAAATCAGTTGATATCCATGAAGAATCAAGATTCATATCTTCTTTTGTATCTAAGATCTAGAAATCCATATGAAAAGAAAACTAACCACTTCAAAATTGCACGAAGATTAACTTACGATCAAATGATAGAAAAAGCTAGCTTTAGGACCACACATTTGTTGATTAGTTCTAGTTCAATTCAAAGAGGACAGAAACCATCTTTAGCAATAAAATATCATCATTTTATGAGAAGGTGGGCTTTCAAAAGCTGCTTGCACTTTATCAATACCGCCATAATGCAATTCTTTGTGAGCATCAAAACTCCCATGTAGTCATATCTAGACACCAGCAACGATTCTTAACTATATTTTTAGTTATGCGGATTGCTAAGATTTTCCTCTTGTCCTATATGATTCTGATCAAACTCTAAAAGTTACATTACAGGCATCCACAAGTGAACCAAAATGTACTTTTGTGAACCCAGTAAAATCCCAAAGCTTCTTACTCTAGAATTCTTTCTCTCTATTCTTTCTATTATGGGTCTTTTATGTTTTATAAGCAAGGTTTTGGTATTGCTCAAGGAAAAATTTTGGATCCAACACTAGTAGACTTTAGATCTTTGTTATAGAATATATTAAATCCCCATTAAATAAAAATATTGTTTAATTTTGAAACGAGATAGCCTATGCTATGATATTTGTTGTTCATTATACTTTGTCTTTTTTATTTTGTTCAAATGCACCATATTTGTTATCTTAAGAGAGCAAAAAATTCTAAAAATTTCTTGTTTTAGTTAGTGTCTTGTAGTCATGAACATTTAACAGTTTATTTTATGTGCTCATACCAATAGCCAACATGGTTGAGTCTCACTTGATTTTCTTGCTGAGCATATTTGAGGTCTAATCCATAAGGTGGAAAAGTGAAAATATAACAGACTCATCCTTGGAAGCGATAATCCTAGCCATTCACTCGTCGTGAGGGTTTGAGTATGTGGGGGACACAGTTGAGTGGTTGAAATAGTTTTATTTGAGGTGATGGTTGAAAGAAAGGTTGGTTAAGTGTTTAAACAATGGCTTGCTCTTAGTCTCCCATTGGGGATTTGGATTTAGGTTTTTATGATTGAAGATTCTAGTCATGGAACCACTTGGGAATGTTAATGTAATGTCTTTAGATGCAATTTGGAGTATTTGATGAAATTCCAAGTGGTTTAGTGGCCAAAAATTGGGGAACAACAAAGATTTGGTCAAAGTGATATAGTTTGGATAGATTTGACTAGTCTTGAAATATTGAGTTGTTTGTATGGCTTAGATGTGTATTTAGGGGTCGAAAAGTCTATAGAATGTTAAAGTAATGTATCGAGGTTGCATCTTGAGTAGATGGAAATCCAAGATATTTTAAGGAAGATGGAGGAGAAAAAAATCAAAACTAGGTCGAGAGAACCCTAGTTATGGTTGCCGGCTTCAAGAAAGGTTTCGTGATATTTTATGGCTGTAGGATCTGCGGACATGTTTTGGGATGATGCTATGAAAGATTGGTAGATAGACTATCAAGTATATGAAAGATATCTGTCTTTTACTAAGAATAAACCAAAAGAGGGAGGAGCGGCCACCAAACTCTTAATCCTAGAGGTTTCACTCTTCCGTTTTTCTCAAAATATCAAAACAACCTTTTGCATTTACTCTAGTAATATTTAAGCTATTATATCAGGTTGTACAATTAAAAAAAAAATTATGGATGAAGGAAAAATCAAATCTAATGATGCAAAAAAAAAAAAAAAAAAAAAAAAATTAAATGATGAAAAAAAAAAAAAAAAAAAAAAAAAAAAAAAAAAAAAAAAAAAATCTAATGATGCAAATAAGAAAGTGGGGTGAAGCCACTTCAAGAGTCTCTCCCCACATGGGTTGATTGGCCTAAACACTTCCTAATTAAGCCTAAGGCCCTAAACTTATTTAAAATAACAGCTAAATATCTTTGAAGTGTTCCATATAAAAATTATGAATTAAAGGTTGAAAATTAAAAAATTTTGGACTAATATTTTGAGTTTATAGTTTTAATTTTTATTACAAATTTTTTGAGTTCTATATCAAGGCTCTTTATTGATGCTTGTCTTGATCCCATGTTGAGCCCTTGATCTTGATATTTTCATGGCGCTTTCAGAATTAACGTGATATTCTACATAAAAAACACTTCATATCATTGAAATTTTTGATTCTTCTTATGATGTCAAATAACTGGTTTCTGTCTATTACAGTGCTTTATTTTTTGTTATTTTTTTGACAGGTATCTGCACATACATCAGCTGGAAAAACTGTTGTTGCTTTATATGCTATCGCCATGTCACTGAGAAATCAGCAAAGGGTTATTTACACCTCTCCAATCAAGGCTCTAAGCAACCAGAAATACAGGGAGTTTAAGGAGGAGTTTTCAGATGTTGGCCTCATGACCGGTGATGTGACCATTGAGCCCAACGCCTCTTGCCTGGTAGGTTAACAAATTTCCTTTTTTTCTCATAAGGTACCACAAAACTGGTACTTCTGAAACTCCCAGACTAGAACACCAAGCAAGATTCACAACTCATCATAGCAGAAGTCTGATTCTTGATGTAAAAACTACATTATTTATTTAGTTATTAATTTTTTATATAAAATATTTAGGTGATGACCACTGAGATTTGGAGAAGCATGCAGTACAAAGGGTCAGAGGTAATGCGGGAAGTGGCCTGGATCATATTTGATGAAGTGCATTATATGCGAGATAGGGAAAGAGGTGTTGTGTGGGAAGAAAGTATTGTTATGGCTCCCAAGAACTCACGTTTCGTTTTCCTTTCAGCTACAGTCCCTAATGCTAAGGAATTTGCTGATTGGGTGGCTAAGGTTCTTCATTCTAGTCTGCTAGTTTGTTTCTATTTATCCTAAATGATTTCTGTGGAATCTTACGTGTTTTTATGAAAAAAGTTGTTGCCCGAAACTTTTGAATTCCACCGTTGTGTGAACATGCAGTATGCTTAAAGTTGCATGTTTGCTTATTTGTGAAGCTTTGTATTTCTTTGTTTTATTTGTAAAATTTGCTCACTCCTTTTATCTGTTGAATATCAGATTCATCATCAGCCTTGTCACATAGTTTACACAGATTATCGACCAACTCCCCTTCAACATTACATTTTCCCTTCCGGTGGTGATGGTTTATATTTGGTGGTCGATGAGAAAGGAAAGTTTCGTGAGGATAGTTTTCAGAAAGCTTTGAATGCCCTCGTTCCTGCTAAAGATGGAAATAGAAAAAGGGATTTTGGGAAACTGCAGAAGGCATTGCTGGAAGGAAAACCCAGTGAGGAAAGTGACATTTTTAAGCTGGTGAAAATGTTAATTCAGCGCCAGTATGATCCTGTTATACTATTCAGCTTTAGCAAGAGGGAATGTGAATTTCTTGCAATGCAGGTAAAATTAGAACATTTGTAGTTTAATTTTTTTTTTAAGGGTTCTGCCTTGCTGATGAATTGGACTGAAGGTCCTGATTATGTCTCTTTAAATTCTCATATCATATGCTATTTGGTATGAAAAATCAAAACCTGTAATTTGGTTTGGTGGTAGATTCAAAGATTTCTGTTGTCTAATATAACCTGAAAGCCTTCATTATGTCATTTGATTTTGTGGATTGAGGAAAACAATGTTGTTCAATTGCCAAAATTATCTCTGCCTATAGGTTCTGCATATTTGTTTTTTAAGTTGGAAGGAAATGAATGTTTTGATCAATATGATACATGTAAGGAACTAGGGAAAATGTTAGAAAAATCAAGAGGAAGTTGCAGCTTCTGTTCTAGAATGAAATTTGCAGAACATTTATCTTCTGCACTATTGTATAATCGTTTGTTGCAGATTTTAGGGTTGGATTCTAAGGGTCTTCATTCAATTTAAGTTTTGTCCTTGCTGTTTTTATATTATTTGCTATGATTCGATGTATTATTTTAGGGCTTACAAGTCACTAACTATTTCCTTAACGCCACTTGAGGGCCATTTCCTATTGTTGGGCCACTCTTTAGAGTAAAGGGTTGAGTTCTTGCTGTATAATGTGCCGCCAACCCTAGGCCTTGTGCCCCCTTTCAGATCTGTGTCTGATCCATCCTTAGCATGTAGGTCTCTCTTCCAAGATTTATGTATGGAGTGGAATTCAACTTCCTTGTTTTGTGCATAGGATGCCTTTGCTATGTAATTGGGTTCTTTATTCCCTTTGTTCGTTTCACTGTTGATTTCTTTCTTCTTCATTCTCCACTATTCCGGAATCTGTATCCAAAATGCTATGCATCCTAGAATATCAGATTGACTTGTTATTGACGGCATAATGCTCTTGTATTTGACCATTGAGGAGTTCATATATTTGACATAAAGCAAGTGATCGGGAACTTAATTTTTTAGTCTTCATGTTTATGGTGCTTTATATGAATATCTGGATTTTGTGAGAAATTTTTTTAATCACTTCTGAAATTTAGGCCATTGCAGTTTATTAGCAGTTTATATAATTTATGTTTTCCCCTAGTCCGCCCATGCATCTGGTGCAAAGTTTTGACATATCAACTGAATATAGACACTGTTTGGGAAAAATGATGAATTAAACTAAGTTAGATGCTCCGAGACCTTGTTATTTTTATACTCTTATATGTAATATTATATTAGAGCTGTGGTATGGAATTCACCTCGTTTTTGTTGCTTATATCTTTGTTTTTAGATGGCAAAAATGGATTTGAATGATGACCAGGAGAAAACTAATATAGAAACCATCTTTTGGAGTGCAATGGATTTGCTATCTGATGATGAAAAGAAGCTTCCCCAGGCAAGTTTATCTGATTGAGTATGAATGCTCCTTTTTTGGAGTTGTGTTTTCCCTTTACTTCTCTTCACTTTTAATTCCAATTTTTGAGTTCCAATTAAATTTATTTAGCATAATGATAGCTGTTGCAGAAAAAAACATACAGAATTTTGAATCATGCAGGTTTTTTCTGTCATTGAATGAAACAATTACAACAGTTACTATGTGTTTTTTTTTTTTTGCTTGGTGAAAAAATTGCTCTCTTGAATCTGCTTATATCTTGAATTTCTAGTCATTGTAAAAAGTTAAGGCCATTTATAGTCAAATAAAAGCATATATTTAGTTCTCAATGACATTATATTATATTAACAGCATTTATGCATCACTTCTTAAACATACATAGTTATAATGAAATACTTTTGATGAGGTGGGCTAAAGGTTCATATTGTATAACGGGAAGGCATTATATTGCAGATAATAATATGATGTAGAAAAATTGTGAAAAGAAAATGTTTATACCGTGAATACGGGGCAAATGTTATGCTTTTATCCTTTTAACTAAACTAGAGATAATATATATTATAATTTGACATGACAATAGTGATACTTAGCACCCTAACCTTTTTGGTTCTTTTAAGTTACTGTAGCACTTCTTGGAAAGATCAATAGCCCTATTGGCAGTTCATGTTATTTACACAGATTTTAAAGGAAAACATTCAAAAGTTTTAGCGGCATTGCGTAATTGCATTGCATAAAATGAGGAAGTTCAATTAAAGCATAGCTCACGTTGAATTAATGGAATTGAAGCACCTCTTTGATGTTCGCAGTATCAAATTATATAAAAGATCATTGATATAAGGAATCGTTATAACAAATATTATCACACCTAAGATATATTATTAGAATCATATCTTTTCCTCTTCTCATGGAAACCAGACCAACAAGGCATTGCTGGAGTGATGCTAAGACATTCATGACATATGACTTAAAATAAATGATGCCATCAAAATATGAGTACTTCCAATAAATGTACGTCCAAGAGCAAATGCCTTAGCTAAGGGGTTGGTGAACCTCACTTATTATCTCATAGCTTGCAAAAACTCGAGCTTCACTTGTTTTGTTCCGCCATTTTAAGCATTCATCTATCACTTAGAACTTCTGCGGCATCATATTTTTGAGGATTTTTGGATCAAATCTTGATTGTGTAGAGCCATTGGGTGGGCGAGCCACTCCTTTCCAATTGAAGTAGTGCTTGGCGAGCTTGCTTTAAAGTGTTCGGTTATGTTGGATCTGCATATGTTGCTGGGTTTTGTAAGTCTTAGGCGGTGGTGTGAATGGGTTGTGTGCAAGTGGCTTAAAGTTATTGAGTAAAGAAGCTGAGCCTGTATGAATCTCAGCAGTCCAGGCTGGTCTCCACATTGTATGTCCGGGTAAAGAACATTTAGCTAAGCGTACATGCAAGTCATAGCTCTCTTAGGACCTCATTTGTGTCTGAGAACCTGGTTGAGCTACTGTATGAGCATTATAATGCTGTAGATGTCATTATTGTGAAATTCTTTGGCACCCTTGCGGAAACCAACAGTAGTTGTGGGGACGAATATGAGGTTTCAGTTTATTGGGAGGGCCGTATGGAATTTGAAATGGTCAAGGGTGGGTTAATGATGATTTCAAGATGATTTTTATTAAAGATATTCTGTAATAAATGTTGAAAATATGAGGCCACAAGTTGCTCTAGATGAAAACAATTGCTTCTTCTAGTTTCTTCCTAAACAAAAAAATTGGGGAAAAGTATTTTTTAAGATATTTGACTATTATGCAAATTATTGTAGAAAATTGTTACAGTTGCGCACAAAATAAGTAGATTCACATAGTTGGGATATGGATTGGGAAGAAAAAAACGTGTTATAGCATAAAAATACTGGAACAGTTTGGGAAGTTCAGTAGCAAATTTAGGATTGATGTGGTAGTATTGTATTTTTTTTATGCTATGTAGTTTGGTTAGAAATAAACAAATCCCCACTCATACAAAGATGAATCAGCTACCTATTAGTCATAGGGTTTAGGGCCAATATTGTCAGTCCATGTATCAAAACTTGGGGTTTAGGGAGATACATCCATTTGGCAGACATTTATGTTTTTATGCTAAATCCTTACCTACCTCTTCAAGGATGACATAATCAAGATTGGCTGGAGTGCTTCTATATACATGAATATTTCTTTTATGTTTGAACTAGTAATTTTGAAGGTGTGGACATCCACTATGGACATTAAAGTGGTAAAAATTCTTGAGGACGAGTTGGAGGAGGTGGACTAGGAATGTTGAGAGAAGAGAGAGACTAATGATTCATTCTTTGCTTTCTAGGCATCTACCACAATCACATTTGGCTGCAACTTTTTTGTCGCTTTTCAAAGATATTTATGTTGTCAAGAAACTTTCTATTACTAGATCTACTAGAGTCTGATCTTTGTAAGGAAGCTATTATCCGACTTTTTCAAAAGAAAATAGTTTAATATAGTCACAATAATTTTAAAAAAATTACTTTCCCTCAACAGCTACATAATAGTTTTTACAGAGTTGCAGGCACTCCAAACATACCCTAAGTTTAGTGAAGCTTGAGGAGTTGGATATTGAATTCTATTGCTAAATATGTTATTGTGATTTTTATTAGTGTTTCAGTGAAGATGTTGAAAGAAGGTGTTATGATTTTGTCAAATTTAGATTTATAGATGTGTTAGCAAAAGTGAATCAATCAAAAGAAAATAATGTTGGAGTTGAGGCAGAGATGCTAGCTTTGGATGTAGAAAATAAGGTTGAGCATGTGGATGTTGGAAGATGTTTGTGGAATTATTTGATAGAATGGAGGAGCATTTGTCCAAAGCCATATAAAGTTGATGCCATAGCTTCTTTCTATTGGCTATTGATGGCAAACTCTCTTTAAATGGACTATATCCTACAACCTTATAAGAATTAAAAGATAAGCATTAAGTTGTTATAGACTTCGAAAGAGCTTCATGACACTAAGAGTTGACAACAGATCACGTTGCCCTAATGGAGCGAGAAATGATCGTGTTGTATATGAGTACGAGAATTTGCGGAAGATAGATTAAATATGTATTCCAGAGATTTCTCTTGAATGACAAGGGATGCTAAAATATGGTTTATTTAATTTTGAAGGATTTGGTTACCCATGAGCTCAATGCTGCATGGATGTTACATTCAAGAGGCTCAAGAAACTCTCCATTTAGGATGTTTAGTTCATATTCTTGATTCAACATCGATGAATTTTAAGTCGCTTTCTTAAGCAATAAGTGAACGACTCAATGAGGGTCAACAACATGCAAGAAAACCACAAATAAGTATGACAATGTCATTAGTAACGATTTAAAAATGTTGGTTTTATAGACTATGAAGATTTCCCAACAATAGAGAAATCAACTCGACATCAACCTTGAAGATGTGGGTAAAGGAGTTATCATGAGAGAGGAAGTGGACTTATATTTCCTTGAATACGTAGGGGAAATTTCGAAGGGATAAGTGCTATAATGCTAGGTAGATATCCTCCTAAATGCCAGATGAGTGGAGACTGAGTGTGTTAATTCATATTTTTAAGAATAAAGGTGATGCACAAGATTGTGCGAATTATAGAGAAATTAAATTAATGTGTCATACTTTAAAACTATGGGAGCGAGTTATGGAGCATAGGTTGCGGCGTGATTCTAATGTTTCTCAAAATCAATTTGGATTTATGCCGGGTAGGTCGACTATAGAAGCCATACATTTATTAAGAGGTTTGATGGAGAAATATAGAGAAAATAAGGAGGATCTACATATGATATTTAGATTTAGAAAAAGCATATGATAAAGTTCCAAGAGAAGTGCTATGGAGAGTTCTTGAAAAGAAAGGAGTTAATAACACTTATATTCAAATCATTAAATATATGTATGCAGGAGCTATTACTTGTGTTCAAACACAAGGTGATTTGATCAAGTATTTCCCTATTTCGGTTGGGTTACATCAAGGATCAGCCTTAAGCCCATATCTTTTTTGCTTTAGTCATGGATGTTCTCACTAGATATTTGCAAGAGGATGTACCTTGGTGTATGCTTTTTGCTGATGATATTCTTCTTGTTGATAAGACTAGAGAGGGAGTTGAAGCTAAACTTGAATTATGGAGGTTAACCTTAGAGTCTAAAGGTTTTCACTTGAGTAGATCTAAAACATAATATATGAAGTGTAATTTTAGTAGTAATAGACCTAGTGAGGGGATTGTGACTTTGGGCGATCAAGTCATTAATAAGAGTACACATTTAGATATCTTGGATCTATTATTCAGAGTGATGGTAAAATAGATGGGGATATTATCAACATAATTCAAGTTGGATGGTTGAAGTGGATGAATGCATCGGGCTTGTTGTGTGATAGAAAAGTATCCCTCAAACTTAAGGAAAATTTCTATAAGATGGTGGTGAGGCCTGCAATGCTTTATGGTGCCAAATGT